GCTTATGTGCCTAAAGATGAAGAATTGAGGAAAGAGTTATTGAAAGAGGCGCATAACACGTGATATTCCATACATCCGGGTACTACAAAGATGTATCAAAATTTGAAACAGTATTTTCTTTGGCATGACATGAAAAAGGATATTGCAAAGTTTGTTACTCATTGTCTAACGTGTCAGCTAGTTAAAGTCGAGCACCGAGTACCTGCAGGAAAACTATAGTCGCTATCGATACCTCAGTGAAAATGGGACTTGGTGACGATGGATTTTGTAGTTGGTTTGCCAAGAACACCAAAAGAAAATGATGCGATATGGGTTATTGTGGATCGTTTAACTAAGTCTGCACATTTTATCGCGATTAAAAAGATATTCTCAATGCCTCGTTTAGCACAGGTCTACATAGAAGAGGTGGTAAGACTTCATGGAATCCCTATTAGTATCGTGTCGGACAGAGATCCACGATTTACTTCGAGATTTTGGAATAGTTTACAAGAGGCTATGGGCACTAAGGTACAATTGAGTACAACTTATCATCCCCAGACCGATGGACAATCATAGAGAACGATACAAATGCTAGAGGATATGTTACGTGCGTATGTATTGGATTGGGGAGTAGAATGGGATCGTCACTTACCACTTGTGGAATTCGCCTACAATAACAGTTTTCATTCAAGTATCGGGATGTCACCCTTTGAGGCGTTATATAGAAGACCTTGCAAGACACCTCTCTGTTGGACAGAAGTTGAAGAAAGACGATTGTTGGGTCCTAATATAGTGGATGAAACCACAGACAAGATTAAAGTAATCCAGAAACAGATGAAGGCAGCACAGGATAGACAGAAAAGTTACGCGGATAAACATAGACGTGACATAACTTTTCAAGAGAATGACAAAGTATTTCTCAAAGTACAAGCAACTAAAGAAAAAGCACGCTTCGGAATGACGGGAAAACTAAAACCCAGATTCATTGGACCTTTCAAGGTGTTGAGTAAGATAGGAGCAGTGGCTTATAAGGTTGCCTTACTCCCCGAGTAGGCACAAGTTCATGATGTGTTTCACGTGTCCATGCTTCGGAAATACCATCCTGACCATGATCACATTATTGATTATCAACCGCTTGAGTTAAAACCGGATGAGACTTATGAAGAAGAACATATCGAGATTGTTGAACAGAAGGTTAAACCACTGCGGCGAAGAGGAATTCCTCTAGTAAAAGTCATATGGACATATCATAAAGGAGGAGATGCGACGTGGGAATTGGAGAACGACATGAAAACTCGTTATCCCCAGCTTTTTGGTAAGAAAAAAAACCCGTACATATTATATTAAGTCGTTCTAGAATTTGGGACGAATTCTTCTTTTAAGGGTGGTGGAATTATAACGAACGAAAATTTTAAAAAAAATGAATTGGGGTTTGTTGATAAAAATTAAAAGTTCTAGAAAAATCTATTATTTTAATGAGGGCCTTTCGAAACGAATTAAAAGTTTAGGCAAATTTTATAAATTTTAAAAAAAAGGTCCAGAGTGCAATTTCGCCTAGGGTTTCTTTTCTTCTTCTTCTTCCTCCTCCCATGGCCGACCTTAGCTCGCCCAAAACCAGATTTTTGCTCTGGTTGACCTCTTTGCTCGCCATCGGTCGTCAACCACCGCCCCATGGCCACCGCTTCATCACTGTCGGTCCGTTTCTCCCTCTTTTCTTAGTTTTTTCTTCATCGTTTTCCTTCTCCTCTACTGCCATGGAGTTTTGCCGATTTCCGGCAAACGGAAACTTGGTTTTGGACGAGACTTGAGGGGTTTGGAAGCTCTTGGCGAGCTGAATCTTTCTTGGTAGTGTCATCACGGGAAATAGTGAATCGTCGCCGGAAAAATCAGTGGGAAACATCGGAGAAAAATCAGGTTTTAGACAATTCTAGTTCGATTTAGGCCAAAAAACTTTGGATTTGGATTCCTTGAGTGATTTTATATAAGATACAGAAAAATTAGATGATTCCGGGATATATGATCGCCCGCTGGAAAATTTTCCGGTGACATGGATTGAACCGTTTCAATTCCGTGATTTCAAATCCGAAATCCGTTTTATAAAATTCAAAGTATTTAGAGATATTCGAACGATTTAAAATAAAACAGTTTAACCATATATATATATATATATATATATATATGTTAATATTGTTTTTTAGATTAGTTAATTATTGAGAATTATAGAGAGTTTTACTGTGTATATATTTTAGATATTGTTATGTTTCTACTTAGTTTAGATTGATTTATTCCTTATCATGATTGAATATAAGTTAAGAAATTTCATGACTATGATATCTATTTATTTCATCCATACTAGATATATAGAGATGTCTCTGATTTTATCAGTGTATATGTATAGAGATTTTCATTTTCACAAAGTTTCTAATTCTAATTTTTTTATTACGTATTAATTTAAAATATCTTAAAAATCAGCTTACATTTTGTAACCGGCTCATGTTTTTTCTAAAAACAAAACTCTCCTAGATCTGATGAATTATAAATGTCCTTTTAAATTTACTTAAATGTTTATAAAAGTGAGAATAAATATTTCTCAATGCACTATTAAGTTCTATTTTTATATACGGATTTGTTAATTGATGTAATATCGTATATTAGAATCATTATGTTATAAGATCTAATTATAGCTAAGGGATTTTCTTTCGGAATTTGTTCATTCCATATATTTAAAAAATTTGTCGGCAGTTTCATAATTTTTTCTCTCTTTTTAAAATAGCCAATCAACTGAAATAGATAGACGAAAAGATGAAATTTCCGTAGATTACGTGACGCCAAAATAAAAATTTTAAAGCAAAAAAAAAACGTGAAGTAAAATAAAATGTACGTAGTGCATTTGAATGTGCATGCATGTGATTTGGCGACAACATTTTTATCTTGTCACCGCATTATCCTTCCCTTTCTTTTTTTTTTTAATATTATTATCAGTTTTCAAATTAAACGTAACAGTCTCTAGGGTTACACAAATTTCTTTTTATTTCATCGTATTGTAAATATATTTATAGAAAAACAATTTATCGTTTTTTTATTCGCATGAATAATATATATATAAAGTTGTTATATAATGATGATTTTATTTAAAGAACTCGTGATTTGGAAATATGATGTTATAGGAATAATTGGATATACTATTAATTTGTGAATTAAGATAACGTCCAAGAGAATATTTGAATTTCCGGACATGAAAAACTTAAATAAATTGATTCTTTTGACAGATTTTTGACGAACGATTGATTGCAAATTTAGACCAACTTTATTTAATTAACCAATAGATTTTTATTTTAACTAATTGAAGAGTAATTTAACTGATTTTTTAATAATAATACCTCAATACGAGTCCGAAAATACTTAAGATTATTTGTATAACACATCGTCTCATCGCACGCGCACATCTCTGTTTTTTTTTAAATGATTGTAGGATTTATTTAATTCGCGCACCATCAAAAAATATTGAGCTATTTTATTTCTTCATTAATTTCGTAATAACTACGAAGTCATAACTCAGTTTTACATCACTATTTTGAACACATGAGAATATTATTGTTGTTTTAAATTATTCGTTGATTTGAACATTGAGATATATATATATAGAGATATATATATGTTGAAATTGAAAATATGCAAATTAGTCGAAACAAATATGCGATAAACTACGTGGAAGGATGCCTTCTGCCCCCCCCCCCAAAAAAAATATATCGTAAAATAAAGTAAATATGCGTTACGTGTGCGTCTTGTATACTAGTAAGTAGTAACTGTATACGTAGATAAATTTTAAAAAAACTGTATACATAGATAAATTAAAAAAAAAACAAAACTAATGTCCAAAATCAAAACATAAAAATGGACCCAACAACGTGAAAAATATTTTGGAAAGAAAGTGGGCCCAAGAACAGTGATAAACTTTTTTTTGGTTTAACGTGATTGTTATATTACTATCAAAAAATAACCCGAAGGTTTACATGAGTTTAACATGTACCAAAGATCCCGAGAGATAATGATTCCTATTACAAGTGAACAAAAAAAACGAAGACTTAAATCTCAGTCATAATATCTAAGACGATACCATTGTTGGAGGGGGTCATTTGATCCGGTAGAATCCGACTTGTGCAAGGATATGAGTATGTTCCACATTATCCTATTGATCTTGAACCGCAATTGTTGTGGCGAGTTTGAGACGTCTTTATATGTCCGTCCATTACGTTCTTTCCAAATCTCGTATACTACTAGCTGAAAAAGAAGGCTCTTGATTAGCTTTATTGTCCGTTGGGTTGTCATGAGAACAGTGATAAACTTGGCACCAATAATGCGTCTGATTAATATTTCATTTGGCTCCTCTTACTATAATGTCCCTCCGAATCCCATTTTCGTCTTAACATAATAATTACAAATATAATTAAAACATTCTACTGCTAAATACAACATAGTAAAAGATCGCATAGATAGATTAATTCACAATATCTAACATAATACATCTTGAACCATCTCAATATATATATATATATATATTATATTGCTTATAATGTACCAACATTCGATTATAACTTGTTCGGAACATATATATATATATATATATTTTATCATAGATATTAATTTTTTATCCATGATAAATCCACATGTAATAATTCGCAACAAAACCTCTTTCGAATTGATGCTTCGTGACCATCATTGGAAACATAAGCTTTCCATTTTGAATGCATGCATGTACATTGATTTGCTGTTTTTTCTTTTGTATTAACATTACCAGTAAAAATATATTTTTTGTACATCCAATCCTTTTTAGTAATATAAATTGTTTTTTGCTTTAGACATTTTTTTTGTGAGTTTGTGTGAATATGTATATTATAAGTTAATCATAACAAAATTTTGTCACCATATGGAAACGACGACGGTAAATAATTGGTGACGAGACGAAATATCAGTAGCTAATTCGTCACCGCCAAAAAGTTCTATATAAAGGGGGGCAGAGAGTGCGCCATTCTCCACAAGGCAAAACCTTGAGTGAACCCTAAAAATGGGGGTTCACAAGCAAAACCTCCTCTTAAATCTCTCCATCATACTTCTCCTCTTCGCCGCTTTTGCCGCTTCTTGCTTCGCAAATAATGATGAATATGCCCTGGGCAATGGCGAAAGGAAACCACCAAAACGACCACCTCCACCAAAACGACCACCTCCGAGACAGCCACCAAGACCACCTCCTAGACCGCCTCCAAGACCGCCTCCACCCAGACCGCCGCCTCCTAGACCGCCTCCGCCCAGACCGCCGCCTCCTCCGCCAAGACCTCCACCACCTAGACCGCCGCCTCCTCCTCCGCCAAGACCTCCTCCACCAAGACCTCCACCACCTAGACCGCCTCCTCCGCCGCCAAGACCTCCACCACCTAGACCGCCGCCTCCTCCTCCGCTGATACCGTCGCCTCCGCCGCCGCCGATGCCGAATCCCCCGCAGCCGACTTGTCCCGTCAATATTATCGACTTTTTAGGGTGTGCTCGGGCCCTGTATGACGTGATTGGTGGAGGACCGATCGAAGCGGTGAAAGAAACTTGCTGCCCTGTCGTGGAAGATCTTTCCGATTTCGACGCAACGAATTGTCTCTGCAAATCCATTAAAAGCGTATTTCCTGCCGTTTTTCAACCGGGCGTCTTCATCGTTGGCCTCGAGGCTCTTGCTCAGTGTGGCAAGATACCACCTATCGGGTACCAGTGTACTTGAAACTCAAAGACTCTGCTTGCATCAGAGGGTTCGTGTCAGTTTTATGTGTGTTTGGTAATAAGGAAGTTCATGGGTCGTTTGGTCCGGAGTTCCAGTTTGTACTGTAGTAAGTGTTGTCTACCTTGTCTTTTGTCGTGTTCGAGCCCATGTTTGTTATAAATAATTATGCGTTGGCTTAGGGTTAGGAGATTGATTTGTGATACAATATCGTTGATCTCTTCATCTTTTTGTCCGACTCTGTATGTGTTTGTATCCATGTATGTGGTGCAATAAAATGGCCACTATCGTAATGTGTAAAAAATGTCCAATACCAAGGTGAATAATGTATGCATGTATATATATATGTTCATATCTTGCGTTCATAACATATATTATATATATAATCCAAAATTAATTGAGCCAACTGAGAAGGGATGGATCAAAATTCCTTACCAATTTAAATTCGAGTTTTAATTTGAAGATCAACATTCACATGAGTTTAATTTTCTAATTTAAATTCGAGTTTTCATTTAGAAAAATGAGATTCATGAGTTTCTCGGTTTTTATTAAAATATATTTGGATCAAAATTTCGTTTAATTTTTATATTGTCAATATACATATATATATAACACTTTTAGTGTATGTTTTCGACGGATTTTAAACGTTTAGAAATGATTGCATGGGCATTTGGAATGGCGGAGGAGCAGCAGTTTGGTCCGTATAGGATTTTTCTGCCGTTTTTGAGTTTTTCAGAGTTTGAGAGAGATTTTGGGAAAATGTTTTCTTGTATTCTCATTCATCATAGCTTTCTTAAATACAAATAGAAGAAGTGAAAGAGAAACCCTAGAAACCCTAACCAAACTAAACCAAAATAGATTAACCAAACCAACATTAAACCAAACCAATATTTAACTACATATATATTCTAATAGTTTCCAATGAAAATAGCTGCGGACGTGTTTTCGTTTCTTCACGTTCATATCGTAAAATGATACTTTCTCCCATGCAGTTCGTCTGCGTCACCCTGTGGTCCAAATATCTAATATTATGTAATTTTTCTATATCCTTTTAATGATTTTATGGATATAATTGCATGAATAACGTGATCTGTTATCAAAGGCAGAGAATTCATCCATATATATATATATGTATTTTTCGATTTTTATATTACGCTCTTAAGTGATACCATTTCTTGACCTAATTGATAAAAAAATTGGTTGCATGGAGAATTCCCAAAAATCAAAACAGTAGTGTTGCAGTTGCTGATGGTACCCCCCCCCCCCCCTTTTTTTTTCCTCTCCTGTAAATAAAGTAGTGCAATATATTTTCGACATTTTATATTTGATTTCGAAATTTCCTGAAAATTACCAAATGGCCCAAGTATAAAATGATATAATATGATTGCAAATATTGGATGGGTTTGGGCTTGTATGTTGGGCCCACAATCGTCTTAGAGGCCCGTTTTTTTTTTTTTTTTTGTGTTTGTTCATCATTTTTCTTGTCAAACAAGTTCTCAGGTTCCGTTTTATCGAGCTGATAATCTCAGTGGGAAATCAGAGGAGCGAGAACCAGACGAGAGGAGTGATTCTCAGTTCAAGGTAACGAGATCACTCTGTGGTTTCTGCTGGAATCTTTTTCTCTTTTATTTTCCTTGATTCTTTTCGGAATTTGTTTTTTTTTTTGGGGCGAATTCTGAGTTGCTGGGTTTGTTTGTTGGGTAGATGCTTTTGTGAAATCTGGGGAAATGGTTGGATCCTGTTCATGTTCTGATATCTGGCATAAACCCCGGGCTTTTCGATTTCTGCGATTTTCGGATTTCGAGGTCTAGTCTTTGTTTTCGAATCGCCGGAATCGAACTGATTTTCTAGGGTTTATGGATTTTTTTTTTGGTATGTCGCCAGAATCGTTGGATCCTGTTCATGTACTGGTATTTGGTTTGGATCGAAGTTGCTTTTTAGGTTCAAGCTTCAGGGTTTGATACCTTGTGAATGATTGTATGGTTTAAGGCGTTGAGAAGAAAGCCGCTTGTAAGTTTGCTATAGAATCATAGAAGTGTACCCTAGTGTTTATGGTCACCCCTAAGAGCCGAAAAGGAAGAAAGCAGTGATTTTGATTGTAGTTCTTGTGATTTGAAGTTTGGTCTTTTGAGGCTTGTATTATGGATGGTTTTTACATGTAGTTTTTGCATTCGAGGAAAAAAGAGTGATCTTATTGTGTAATTATGTAGTAGTTCGACCTTTTACGCTACTGTGGTGGTTGCGCGACCAATTATCCTAGGATGCAAAAAGACAGGCAAATCTTTTTCCCTTTGCTTACGTATCGTGGGCATTTCTCTCTGTTTTGTTTTCTTCTTTGATGCAGTTGTTGAAAATGTCTCGGAGATATGATAGCCGTACAACGATCTTCTCACCGGAAGGTCGTCTCTACCAAGTCGAGTATGCAATGGAGGCCATAGGCAATGCTGGTTCTGCCATTGGAATCTTAACAAAAGACGGAGTTGTATTGGTCGGTGAGAAGAAAGTCACCTCCAAGCTTCTCCAAACCTCGACATCCACAGAGAAGATGTACAAGATCGATGACCACGTTGCCTGTGCCGTGGCTGGAATCATGTCCGATGCCAACATACTGATCAACACGGCTCGGGTCCAAGCCCAGCGCTACACCTTTATGTATCAAGAGCCAATGCCAGTCGAGCAGCTGGTCCAGTCTCTCTGCGATACCAAACAAGGGTATACTCAATTCGGTGGTCTGCGACCATTCGGTGTCTCCTTTCTCTTTGCAGGTTGGGACAAGAACTACGGGTTTCAGCTCTACATGAGTGACCCGAGTGGAAACTATGGCGGATGGAAAGCTGCGGCCATCGGGGCAAACAACCAAGCCGCTCAGTCCATTCTCAAACAAGATTACAAGGACGAGATAACGAGGGAAGAGGGGGTCCAGCTCGCTCTGAAGGTTCTGAGCAAGACAATGGACAGCACCAGTCTGACATCGGAGAAGCTCGAGCTGGCCGAGGTTTTTCTGACACCCTCAGGCAATGTCAAGTACCTTGTCCACTCGCCCGAGTCACTCACAAAGCTGCTGGTTAAGCATGGCGTGACCCAACCCGCCGCCGAGACATCGTGAGCTCTAGACATTGGTGTTGTACTTGTCTGGTACTTTGTGTTTGTTCAACTTTTTATGTTTTCTCTGTTCTGATTTGGATGATAATGTTGACCTTTTTATCATTCAGAGTCACTTATGACAATTATTTCTGCTGGGTTAACGTTTTCAAAGAACTTGGAAGGAAACTATAAGTGGATATGTTCATCATAATGCTCAATATTCAAAACAAGCAAGCCCAGGCCCAGCCCATTGCGGCCCATGCTTTTTTTGTTTCTTTTATTCAAGAATCCGGTAATCGAGACCTCTTCAATATTAAGGCTGAAACTTCTGTTTATTTACGGCCTTACCCCTTCTAGTGAAAAATGTTACCGCTCAGGTCAAGGGCCTTGAGCGCCCAATGGATTTTTTTCCTAATAATACCGGAAATGCCCTTGCCTGTCTGCTCGGCCCACGGGCAGGGATGCGGAAATTAGATAAAATTCATATAACATTAATATATTCAGGGCCCGACTGGTTACACCGCCACCACCCGCAAACGGAGCGGTTGCAGTTTCTGGCGGGTGGTGGTGGTTGACAAAGTGACTGGTTTAACTGCACACAAACGTAACCGCTACTAAACTTGGAAAATCAAAACGCTGCTATTCATTTGCGTTTTGTTGCGATTTGCTGTGTTTTATGAAAAATGACCAAATTACCCCTGTTAAACTTAATTATGTATTCTTTTCATTTTAGTTATCTTATATATTATTTTGTTGATGATTTTGTTTATTATCATAATTTAAGTTTAATTTTTTATTTTATGATTTATGTTAAAAAAATATAATAGCATCACATGATTTTATAAAATTTAGATTTATCAATAATTATTTTTAAGATTTTATAATAAATATAAATTAAATCGATAAAATTTATATTTTAAAATAATTTTATATTTTTTATAAATTATATAAAATATTTTTTAAAATGATAATATAAAAACTAATTATAATTAATTTAAAAAATTATCTTATAATTATGTCCTTTTTGGTAATTTACAATAAAACGTAACCGCAACCGCTTACAACCATTCACTTCTAATCGCAATCAACCGCAATCGCCACCAACAGTTACTTACCAACCAGTCAGTACAACCCGCTCATAACCGCTACCAAACTTTTTTAAAACGCCACCACCCGCAACCGTAACCGCTGCGGTACAACCAGTCGGGCCCTTAGGCTTGTAGTGTTGCAAATGTTTTTATTAAATATTTATATTTACCATTTCTTTGGCAATTAATATTTCATAGATTTTTCGTTGAAAGACATCTTTCACATTCCACCCAAGATTAGTAGTTTTTACAATCCAATTTCACTGACCAAAACTAATTAGTTTTTTTGATATTTTTCATAACAAAAAATTATTTTCTTGTCCTATTTAGTGGTAAAAAATCGTATCGGTTTTACTTCGGTTGCCAAAATTGTAACACAGATACGAAAAGTAACACAAAGAGACGGTACAAAAAAAGGAAAAAAAGATTATCGCATTTTCCTTATTCCTAATAATTAATTTAATAAACATAAAATAAATAAGTAAATACACGACGGCTTCCTCTCAGACCGAAAACATAACATAACGGAGAGGGGAGGGAGAGAGAACGCAAGGATACGGCAAGAGAGACGAAGGTCGAAAAGCGAAGAACTCGCGGCGACAGAGATTTGCCGGCGAAACGAGGAGACATAGAAGAGAGATAGGGATAGATAGAGAGAAGAAGTTCTAGGGTTTTGGTCTGGATTTTTTCTTCTTCTACATCGATCTGTTTTGATTCTTTTGAAAGTTCAATTGTCCCACGTTCATTTGGATTAGTCCCAGCTCCATTCGGGGATTCTTGATCCGGCGTGCTAGGTTTTGCTATTCTCTGGGTAATTCCCGACCTCAATTTGTCGTTATTCGTCTCTTCTTCTCCTTCTTCAGATTGATTCGTTCCGTAGGGTTTTGAATTCTCCTGGGTCAAACAGTTTGTGCTCGTTAATCTGAGTTTGGGGGAAAACCCTACATTTTGTTTTGTCACTGATCGCGTTTTGGATTTTTCTTGCTGTGCAGGTTGCCGAATTCAGTTGGTGTGAGCATACGAGTAACTTGGAGGTGGGTTTCGAAGCATGAGCATCGACAGCCCAGGTGGAGGGGAGAATTAGGGTTGCGTAGAGTAGAGAGAAAGAGGCGGGATTTCCATGGGCGATGGGGGTGTCGCATGCATGCCTTTGCAGAATATCATGGAGAAACTTCCAATTGCGGAGAAGACGCTTTGTGGAGGCAATACTAGCACGAATACTGATACAACGGACAGTGGCATCGTATCCAAGTCAACTAAGCCCCCTGAGTCTAAGCCAGCCAAGAAGAAGAAGATTGTTAAAGTGATACGTAAAGTGGTCGTGAGGAAGCCCAAGCAGCCGAAACAGCCGCAGCAGCAGCAGCCACCACAGCAGCAGCAGCCAGAGCAACAGCTGCCACAGCCGGTTCAGCCTCCAGCCGAATCTCAGCAGCAGAAAGAACAGCAACAGGAGCAGGATGAAGTGGAAGAGGGTGAATTGGGTACAATAAAGTCTCCTGGGTATTTGGAGAACTGCGAAGTTGTGCCTGAAAGGTCGCTCCAGAGGAGTGAGATAGCTAAGGGAGAGATTGTGGGCGAGAGTTTGAAGAAAGATGAAACAGTTAAAGAAGACTTCTTTTCCTCAAAATTTCATAAAGGGTATGTTGAGAGAAGGGATCTTGCGGTGGATAAGAGCAGGAAAGGAGATAAAGAGAAGAGAGAATTCAGATCATGGAGAGATCCCTGCGAGGAAATAGAGAAGGGAGAGTTCATTCCAGACAGATGGCATAAAGCGGATGCAGTGAGAGATGATCATAGTTACATAAGATCTCGCAGGAATGAATTAGACAGAGAGAAGAACTGGAAATATGATTACGAACAAACCCCACCTGGTGGAAGGTTTTCTAATGAGGATATTTATCGGCGGAGAGAGTTCAGAAGCGGACATGATAGAACTTCGAGGATCAGTTCTAAAATTGTAGATGAGGAAGGTTTACATAAGAGCGACTACACCAATTTCAAGAACCATGTGAAGGAGTACTCTTCATCAGCCAATAAATTGAAGCGACATGGGACTGAGACAGATGGCAGTGAACGCAAATATTGCTACGGGGATTATGGGAGCTCTAAAAGTAGAAAGCTTTCCGATGATAGTTCCCGTCCTCTCCACTCAGACCACTATTCACGACATTCTGTGGAAAGATCATACAGAGATTCTTCTTCCTCAAGAATGGACAAGTATCCTGGTAAGCATCATGACTCATCTTTTCCTCCCAGGGTTGTTTATGAAAGGCATGGACACAGCCCTGGGAGATCTGATCGGTCCCCGCATGATCGGTCTAGGTACCATGAACACAGGGATAGAAGTCCAATCCGTCGGGAGAGATCGCCATATACCCGGGAGAGGTCTCCTTATAATCGGGAGAGATCACCGTACAATTACGAAAAGTCTTCATATGTTCGTAGAAGGTCTCCACATGATCGCAGCCGGCGCCATGATTATAGAAGAAGCCCAAGTTATTCTGAGTGGTCACCTCATGACCGTACTAGGCATAGTGATTGCAGAGAACATTCTCCTAATCATTTGGAAGATACCCAAATTGATCAGAGTAAGCGCAATAGCCACAGAGATGTAAGCAGAAAAAGTGGAGGGCGAGAGAAGAAGAATTCTCAGAGTGGTAAAAAGGAACAAGAAAATAAGCTCAGGCAAAATGATTCTAATGAAAAAGTGTTGTCATCATCGACCAAAGAATTGCAGGATAAAAGCAGCATTTGCAATAGTAATCCAGTGGACGAGAAACGTTCTATCTGTGATTCATCTAAAGAAGTAAAATACCCAAGTTTAAGTTCAGATGGAAGAGAGTCTTTGCAAGTTAATGATGTCCCTATGGAAGAGTTGCCATCAATGGAGGAGGATATGGATATATCTGATACTCCACCACATGTCCCCATGGCTGATTCGTCCTCGGGAAAATGGTTTTATCTTGATTATTATGGTGTAGAGCATGGGCCTGCAAGGTTACCCGAGCTTAAAGCACTTATGGAGCAGGGCATTCTTTTCTCAGATCATATGATTAAACATTCTGATAGTAACAGGTGGGTAACAGTTGAAAATGCAACTTCACCTGTGGCCTCCATGAATTTTTCGTCCATTGTGTCAGATGCAGTGACACAGCTTGTCAACCCTCCAGAAGCTCCTGGTAATCTATCAGAAGATGCTGCAGATACTGCCGGGCCAGATTATGTAGGCAAAAAGGCTGGTGGCTCTTTACCAGAATCAGTTTCTGTGTCAAATGCTGATGAATCATTGATGGAGCTTCGGGAAGATTTCCAGATCGACAAGAGGGTTGCAGATCTCTTAGAGGGTTATACCATAATTCCTGACAGGGAGCTTGAGACTCTTGGAGGTGATGCTGCCTTTCTGCCTTGGGTAGTTGGGTTTGATGTTTCTTTTGTTCAAATTCTCGATTTTTTTTCAATCCTGCATTACATTCCGAGTCTTCTTGCTTGACCTAATTTAAACTTTGTAATGTTGCAGGAGCTTTGCATGTTAAAGTTGAGCTTGAAGACATGGGAAGCTTTGTGACATCTAAAGGTGTGATTTTCCAGCATATATTATGCTTTTGTTAGTGTGGTATTTTTGTATTCTTCTTTCTGGCAGCATCCCTTCTTGCCTTCCCTCCATTTCCCTGACAAACATTTTATGGGAAGCAAAGGAGAGCTGTGTGCTGTTGAGTATGTATACTTATTGTAGATGGTATTGGGCACTTTGGTTCTATATGCATAGTCGGGCTGTTGGCGTGAAACATGTGCCAAGAAGAATGCGTGCTTATGGTTTAATTGTCTGAATGCAACATACCGATGTATACTTGAAAGTTAATTTAGAAAAGAATAGTCTCTTTGAATGCTCATAAGTTCTTGTATTATCCTCATACACGGCATGAAATTAATAAAAAAATTCCTCCATCGTAACTTGCAGATATCACATGGCGCCTCCTTCAATTAGCAAATGATGATGTTTTAGTGGATCCTGGGTTGTCAGGGCACTCTGAGCTCAAGGCAGGGGAGACTGGAGAAATCAAGTTAGACAATGATTATGTTTTTGACGATGAGATATGTAGCTGGTCTTCAGGGTTTTGGTCTTGCAAAGGTGGGGACTGGATTAGAAACGAAGAAGCTTTGCAGGATAGACATTATAGAAAGAAAAATGTTCTCAATGATGGTTTCCCATTATGCCAGATGCAAAAGTCTGGTTATGAGGACCCTCGGTGGCATCATAAGGATGACTTGTACTATCCTTCGAATAACTTTAGGCTTGAACTTCCCCCTTGGGCCTTTTCTAGCATGGATGAGAGGAATCAGGTGAGAGGAGTGAAGGCAAGTATGCTTCCAGTGGTTAGGTTAAATGCTTTGGTGGTTAATGACCAAGGTTCATCTGTTTCTGATTCTCACACAAAAGTTCGAGGGAGGGAGAAATACTCTACAAGACCTGCTCGACCATCCCCGGCACCTAGTGATTCTAGGAGAACATCAGCTGAAAGTTGTTCTCACTCGATAACTTGCAATGGCCAAGACTCAGAAGGCTCTTGGAGAATCAGCACATCTATTACCCCTAAAGACCGTCTGTGTACAATTGATGATTTGCAATTGCATTTGGGTGATTGGTTCTATGTTGATGGGGCAGGGCATGAACAAGGACCTCTGTCATTTCCAGAGCTTCAGATCATGGTGGATAAGGGTATCATACAGAATCAAAGCAGTGTTTTCAGAAAATCTGATAAGCTTTGGGTCCCCGTTATTTCGACTGTAAGAACACATGAAACAACCAGCAAGACTCATGGAAAGAACCAAGCTTCGTCTTTAAATGGTCATGGCGTCATTTCAGATCCAGAGGATGCCAAGAGTTCTCATAAAGAAACAAGTTCAAGTTTGTTTCATAGTCTGCATCCTCAGTTTCTTGGGTATACCCGTGGAAAACTCCATGCATTGGTTATGAAAACGTTTAAGAGCCGGGAGTTTGCTGCTGCGGTAAATGAAGTTTTAGATCCTTGGATCAGTGCAAGACAGCCAAAAAAAGAGAGTGAAAAGTACATGTACCAATCTTCAGGTATTGCCATAGGTTTAAAGCTATTCTCGTCGTTCTCTCTTTCTTCACTTTTCTTTTTTGCAATCATTTGTTTCTAGACTTTGCTGTATAATTTTATCTCTCTATCTTCTTTCCATATCATTTTTAGATGTGCAAACTAGTGTTTTTAATGCTGTTCTCTTCTGACTTTTGTTTTTGGTTTATAATCCTCAGAAATTGATTCACGTTATATCAAACGAGCTCGGCTGATGGCTGATGAGAGTGGACAAGATTCCGAAATGAACGATACACAGATCTTTCAGGAGGAAATGTCGTTTGAGGATTTGTATAGAGGTGATACCTTCCATGTTGAAGTAAGTGGATCTGTTGACCCCGAGGGGGTTACTTGGGGTCTGTTGGATGGTCCCGCATTATTGCGGGTGTTTCATTTCTTGAGGTCTGATGTTAAATCCTTTGCACGAGCTTCCCTGACTTGTAAACACTGGAAGGCCGCTGCTATGTTTTACAAGGATATTTCACGACGGGTTGATTTATCGTCTCTGGGCTCCAACTGCACCGATTCAAAGCTCTGGAGCATCATGGTAAGCTTTCTATGATTTTTCTTCGTGAGCTTCAGAATAGTGATTTTACATTATCTGATGTGACATCCTCATGCAGAATACTTACAACAAAGAGAAGATAAATTCTATAATTCTGGTTGGTTGTACAAACGTGACTGCTGGCATGCTTGAGGAAATTCTCCGTGCATTTCCATCAATATCTTCCATAGACATTACAGGATGCTCGCAGTTTTGGGATTTGGCACTCAACTATCAAAATATAAACTGGTTCAGAGGCCGCTGCCTTCATTCTACCGAATCACATTCCAGGGTGAGGAGTCTGAAACAGATTACTGATGCTGCTACATCCAAGGGTATAAGGGGTGATATAGATGATTTTGGCAACCTCAAGGATTACTTCGATAGAGTGGATAAGCGAGACTCAGCTAATCAGTTATTCCGAAGAAGCTTATACAAACGGTCAAAATTATATGATGCAAGGAGATCATCAGCCATACTTTCCAGGGATGCTCGTATCAGGAGATGGGCCATTAAAAAGTCTGAATATGGGTACAAGCGAGTGGAGGAATTCCTTGCCTCAAGACTTAGACACATCATGAAACTGAATACTTTTGATTTCTTTGTTCCGAAGGTGCTTTCATTAATTTATATCTCTTGAATATGCCCGTCTCTTATCTTTTCCTAGTTGTACCTGTAGTATTTAATCTTGATGTCTTGTCTGTTTCTAGATTTCTCAAATTGAGGGAAAAATGAAGAATGGTTACTACATTAGTCATGGTTTGAGGTCTGTCAAGGAGGACATCAGTCGGATGTGCAGGGAAGCAATAAAGTATGATTTCTTACTTCTCTTTGTTGGGCATGGACTTGTTGCTGGACCATAACATATTAGGACACTACTATGTCAGTAACATTTCGAAACTTGTTTTTTTAATTGTCCTTGTGTATAGGGCTTATAGGCTACTGAGCTTATCGCTTGAGAAGCAACCACTGAAAGAATACTGGTCCCTTTTCTGAATTAATCGTTCTATATTCCCCTGACAAAAGAGTTATCTGTTTCTCGCACTATATTTTCAGTTTTCTGGTCCTCTGTTCTTCAGGCTGTGGGGTGTCTCTAGCATGCTGCATGCAACACCATGAGTTAAAATAGTAGGAGATAGCCTTTGGTTTACCTTACAACTACTGAATTATAATCCATTGGGTGGGTTTTGTTATATTGCCTTTGATCCAATAACTTATGGCTGCAGAATGAAGAATCGTGGTGGTTCTAGAGACATGAATCGAGTCATTGCACTGTTTATTCAACTTGCCACACGTTTGGAGGAGGTCTCCAAGGTTACTTCTTCATATGAAAGAGATGAGCTAATGAAGTCATGGGAAGATGACTCTGGATTCTCTTCAACTTCTAAGTACAACAAGAAGCTGAGCAAGGCAGCATCTGACAGGAAGTATATGAGCAGGACTAACGGCACATCTTTTGTAAATGGTAGTTCTGGCTATGGAGAGTATGCATCTGATCAAGAAATCAGAAGGCGTTTGTCTAAATTGAACCGCAGATCCTTTGATTCGGAGAGTGAAACATCTTCTGAACTGTCAGACGATGGCAAGAGTGACAGTGGTAGCTCAACTTCAGCTACAGAAAGTGACTCAGATTTCCGTTCGGAAGGCCGTTCTGGGGACTTGCGTGCAGATGGATACTTTAAAGCAGATGAAACGTTTGATTCTGCAACTGAAGAGCGTGAATGGGGTGCACGTATGACCAAAGCTAGCTTGGTGCCACCTGTGACTAGGAAATACGAAGTTATTGACAAGTATGTCATCGTTGCGGATGAGGAAGAGGTCCAACGAAAGATGAGAGTATCTCTGCCAGAAGACTATGAAGAGAAGCTCAATGCACAAAGAAATGGCACTGAAGAGTTAGATATGGAACTTCCTGAAGTAAAGGAGTATAAACCAAGAAAGCTTCTTGGTGATGAAGTTATTGAACAAGAGGTTTATGGAATTGATCCTTATACACATAATCTTTTACTTGATTCGATGCCCGAGGAATTGGACTGGTCCCTGCAGGAGAAACATTCATTTATAGAAGATGTAGTGCTTTGTACCCTGAACAAGCAAGTAAGACATTTCACTGGATCTGGGAACACTCCCATGATGTTCCCTTTAAGGCCTGTGATCGAAGATATAAAAGAGAATGCTCGTGAAGAGTGTGATATACGGACAATGAGGATGTGTCAAGGCATCTTGAAGGCAATAGAATATCGTCCTGATGATAAATATGTCACTTACCGAAAGGTATAGCTTTGCAATTCTTTTACGCGGATAATTATTCTGTTTCATGAATCATGCTTCGATATGCTGATCCTTTATGTTTTTATATTCTTGCTTATCCAAATAGGGCCTTGGTGTTGTCTGCAACAAACAAGGTGGTTTTGGAGAAGAAGATTTTGTTGTAGAGTTCCTTGGAGAGGTAAGATTGCAGTAGCGTTTTTTTCATAGTTAACTAAGCTCTCTGTGCTTAGATATTGTTTTTTCTTTTTCAAGGAAGCTCCTAGACTGAAACTCCCTCTGAAGCATTGGTGTTGACAAGTTTGGGTTATCTTGTAGGTTTATCCTGTTTGGAAATGGTTCGAGAAGCAAGATGGGATCCGTTCCTTACAGGAAAACAAAACAGATCCTGCTCCAGAGTTCTACAATATATATCTTGAGAGGCCAAAGGTAAGGATACTCTTTTTGAGGTATTGCATTAAATTAACCTATTGAACATTTTTACCTAAACATGTGTTGGCAGGGTGATGCTGATGGATACGATTTAGTTGTGGTCGATGCCATGCACAAGGCAAACTATGCAAGCCGAATATGTCACTCTTGCCGGCCTAACTGTGAAGCTAAGTAAGTTGAAATCTTCCCCTCGTTCGCAACTAATCATTTCTTCCAAAATCTTAGATTTAAGGTGCAAAATGAGCTAACACGTGTGTTATGCTTATATGTATGCATGTGTATATCTAAATAACACTAACAAAGATGTATACCTATATCAACCTTTTGTTTACGTACTTGCATAATTATGTCCGTCGATGTTACTGTCAACATGGAATTCGCAAATTCCTTCCTTTCCAATGGCCTAATGGGTGGATATTTCAACCATGCAAATTAGAGAACATCTGATTCCAAACCCTGTTCTCATCTGATCATTGATTTTTTCCCTTTTCCGTTTGGTGCTTCCAGGGTTACTGCAGTGGATGGACACTACCAGATCGGTATTTATTCAGTGCGTTCAATTCAATATGGCGAGGAGATAACATTTGATTATAATTCTGTAACCGAGGTCTGTCCCTCCTCTCTATTTGTCAATTTGAACTCTAGAGGAGCATCGATTACGTGGTTTGAATTAATATTTTCCATTCATCCCTGAGGAAAAAATTTTCATCCTCTAAAGATTGACGATTTTGTATCTGACAGAGCAAGGAAGAGTATGAGGCATCTGTTTGCTTGTGCGGTAGCCAAGTATGCCGAGGGAGCTACTTAAATCTTACTGGTGAAGGGGCGTTTCAAAAGGTATTTTGTGGACAGTTTCATTGAGAGACTTCAGAGAGTAGTGATATATAATGTCTTTTTTTATGACTGAACAGATCCGCTTGAGTTGTATTTGCTTGTGTTTTCATGAATTAGTTGTTTAGTTTGTTTATTGTCAACTTGAACCATTCCGGTGATCATACTCTGAATGTCAATCAACTCTCTTAACTATGATGTTTGCAGGTATTGAGGGAATTGCATGGTGTGCTAGATCGACACCAACTAATGCTGGAATCGTGCATGCTGAATTCAGTTTCGGAAGAAGATTATCTTGAGTTGGGTAGAGCTGGCCTGGGAAGGTGTTTACTCGGCGGGTTACCTGATTGGGTGATCGCATATTCTGCTCGGGTGGTGAGTCTCGGATCATTTCACGCTTTTCTTTTGTTGTTTTTCCAGTGGCACTGATTATCAGGATAGCAACTTCGGGCTGACATATTTCCTTGTGAATAAAGGTGAGGTTCATCAATTATGAGAGGACAAAGCTTCCCGAGGAAATTCTGAAGCACAATCTGGAAGAGAAAAGGAAATACTTCTCAGATATAAGCCTTGATGTTGAGAAAAGTGATGCCGAGGTTCAGGTGAGGTTATCACTCTTTCTTTTCTTTGTCACCACCCGTTTACTGCTGATTGCTCTGAGAATAGTTGAAACGACTTTATTATTTGCTTTGGTGAATGTTTGCTTATATCGTTTACCTTCATCGAGGCAGGCTGAGGGTGTCTACAACCAGAGGCTTCAGAATCTGGCTGTTACACTTGACAAGGTGACTGTCTCTTTCTACTGAAGACTTCCAAATAAAGTGTCATATGCTTTCAGCTACATTCTCCATGGATGTACCAAATTTTTTTTTAGCAAATGGAGCATATGATATAACTGATTAGTGTTAATATGCAGGTGAGATATGTTTTGAGATGTGTGTTTGGGGACCCGAAGAATGCTCCTCCTCCATTGGAGAGGCTTACTGCTGAAGAAACCGTCGACTTTTTGTGGAATGGGGAAGGCTCCCTGGTTGACGAGCTTCTTCAGTGCATGTTGCCTCACATCGAGGAAGACGTCCTAAACGATCTGAGATCCAAGATTCGTGCCCACAGTCCATCTGGATCTGCCCCTGATATCCTAACGGAGCTCCAGAGATCATTGCTATGGTGAGTGGAATCTTTCCTATCAGTATGCTTTTTGCCTTGAAAGCACCTAGATCTTGTGAAACCATTGTCCTTATTATACAAATTTCCTGTTCCTTTTAAGGTTGAGAGACGAGATCCGGGATCTCCCATGTACATACAAGTGTCGGAACGATGCTGCAGCTGATTTATTTCACATATATGCTTATACAAAGTGTTTTTTCCGCGTCCGGGTAAGTTTTTGACACATTGTTTCATTACAGAAAAAGCAACAAATCTCATTAAATTCTCACCTAAAATATTTGAACTTAGTCCTTTTCTTTTACTCATAACCTCAGGAATATAAGTCATTCACATCTCCTCCCGTACATATTAGTCCACTAGATTTGGGACCTCAGTATGCTAACAAGTTAGGTGCGAGCGTAAAGGAGTACTGTAAGACATACGGCGAGAACTATTGTATAGGGCAGCTGGTTTTCTGGTATAACCAGACAAATACCGATCCCGATCTCGCTTTGGTGAGAGCAAGCAGAGGTTGCTTGTCCTTACCCGACGTCTCTTCCTTCTACGCCAACAACGTTCAGACACGCCGTGTTTACGGCCCTAAGACTGTAAAACTGATGGTATCACAGATGGTAATTTCTCTTCTCTTCTCTTCTCTTCTCTGATTCAGATTCATTCTTTGTATCAAATTGCTATTAACGGTGGAAAAATCGGTTAATGACGTGCAGTCGAAGCAACCTCAGAGAGCATGGCCTAAGGACAAGATATGGACGTTCAAGAGCCGACCGAGAGTATTTGGCAGCCCAATGTTCGACGCCGTCTTGAATAACTCTTCATTAGACAGAGAAATGTTGCAGTGGCTAAGACACAGACCCGTCGCTTTTCAGTCGATGTGGGATCATTAGTCAACTTCTCTTTTATTCAGCGGGTTTAGGTTTGGGTTTATAGAAGCTGTTGTCACACTACCCGGGGATTATTTTTTTTAAAAGTGAGCCTCTTTCTATAATTCCCCGCGTTCTCACCCATTCATGTATAGCATTTGCCATCTCTCTCCCTTTCTGTAATTTTGATGTAATTCATAAAATGTTGGATTTCTGTTAGGATTTAGGGTTTAGGATTTACAGATTTTTCATATTAAAGAAATATTTAATTAGGTTTTAATCTAATCCTTTCTAAGTTGGGTCCCTTTGGAAATCCTTTCTAAGTTGAGCATGCTTTGAAGGTTCGAACAAATCCTCGTGGAATTTTATTCCTTGGAACATTACAAATATTTCTAGCAGTGCAAACAAAAGTACTATATGATCCATGAAGTATGAATTCGAATAATATAATTTATATTTATTAAGTGTTAAAGAAATATATTATTTTAGCTTTTTGTAAACCAATTATATTTTGTTGAATGAAAAATTAAAGTTCAAAATTGGTTTATTTGAAATAGAAGACACATGTTATTTTTTTTTTACAAATTATGATGTTGACAAAAATATGTGTTACTTGTTGTATATATTTTTTTACTTTATATGAATAATTTGTATATTATTATTGAAAATTATATTTATTTGTAGTTGTTGATCCATTATATTTATAAGAATCATGAAGCACTTTTCAACATTAACAAATCAATTGAAGAAAAAACAATTATATTTGATACATCTAGTTAATTAGATGAAATATGATCCATGAGGTTAGGGGTGACAAAGTTCTCTCGTGTGAAGTAATATGAACTTCTCCATGAGGTCATGTGTTTACCAAGTTTTTTCATCAAAATGTATTGAAAATGTAACTTTGTTTGTAAATATAACTTAAACATTATTGTTTTTAAAATTTATAAACATAAACATAAACATATTATTATTATTATTATTATGTTAAGACCAAATCAATTGATGAATTTTTGAGGACCTATGTGGAGATACATTTGTCGTATTGTGTGTCAGAAAAATTCCATAGACAAATAGTTATTTTCAAAGCTATATCATCCCGTGAAAAAATATTATCAACATAAATTAAAGAAATATATATATATATATAAAAGAATGTTTATAAAGTGTTATGTTAAAATATAATCAATTTATTTTAATTTATTGAATATCGAATGACATGTATATTTTGGTTTTCCTAAAAAAATTTAATTTTGAATAAAAATTAAACTTTAAAAGTGGCTTATTTGAATTAGAAAAGAAATGTTATTTCTTTTAAAATGGTATTGACGAAAATATGATTGTTATTTTTTGTTGTACATGGTTTTTTACTTTATATGAATAATTTGTATATACATATTTGTGATTGCTAATTCATCACATTTATAAGAAAGTTAATAATGTTGTCTTTACGAGATTGGTCAATGATGTTATCCTTACAAGACTGATAATGAATTTTATGGTTAGTGTATTTGGTGCAACAAAATAAGATCGAAAAAGCTTACTATTCGAATAATTCATTCTTTATTTTATTTCAATATTTTTTGTCTTTATTATTTATTTTAATTACAAAAGTACTTGTATATAGAACATATTACGATGAATAAAAAATATAATGAATTTACATGCAATATTGATTATATAATATATGAAAAACGAAAAAGTCCAATAGTAGTATACAATGTAAAAGTTTATGTATCTATGTGGAACCATTTTTTCGTATTCATCGTCAGAAAAACTATAGACACAAATCTTATTTTCAAAGATATATTATATTATGAACAAATATTATCAACAAAAACAAAACAAAAAAAGTAGATATAAAAAATTGTTTATAAAGTATTATTTTTACAATGTTAAAATGTAACAATTTTGTTTTAATTTATTGAATATTGAATTGCATATAATGAAAAGTTGTGTATGAAATTTAAATAACATAATTTAAAGTTGTTAAGTGTTACATTATAGGATCTTGACTTTTCTAAATCAATTTTATTTTTAAATGAAAATTAAAGTTTAAAATTGGTTTATTTGAAATAGAAAATAAATTATTATTGTTTTCAAATATTGATGTTATTTGTTGTTTACATGATCATTTACTTTATATGAATAATTATATTTATTTATGAATGTTGATCTATCACATTTATAAGATAAATGAAACCTTTTTCAATATTGACAAATCAATTGGAAAACAACAATCGTTTTCGATATAGCATCTGCTTAATCATATGAAATATGATCTCTCCTGTAAAAGAATATAGAGTCATGTATAAGATAGTCTATTTACAAAGTTTTTTCATCTTTTCATCGGAATGTACCAAAAATATAATTTTGGTGGTAAATATAAAATAAAGATAATTGATTTTAAATTTTGTAAACATAAATATATATATATATATATATCATTATTTTCGTAGATTACCTCTTTTATTATCATATGTTAAATTATCACTATACGTTGTTTTATATAGCGAGTGATCAATCATTTTCTCTTCCTTTAGCCCAATCTCATTTGACATATCTAATAATTACTAATGACTATATATGTTCGTGCTATGCAGCGATTTGTTGGTCTATCACGTACATAAGAGAAATCACATTGGTCTTCAATATCAATAGACCGATTGATGAACAAAGATCATTTCCGATCCAACATCTGTTGAATTCTGTGAAGTATGGTGCGACGGGCCTCCATGATATGAAGACGACTCTATCTTATCTCAAGAAGCATGGAGTTATGTACGAATCTGATTGTACTTATCGAGGATTTTCATCGGAGTGTCCATATGATAAAAATGTAAGTTCGCTTATAGAAAAAAAAAATGATTACTTTCAAGTTTGTAACAAATAAATATTATATGTCTTTCACTACAAAAAAACAGTTATATAGCGACGGAAAAATCCGTCGCAAATATAAAGGAAATCCGTCGCAATTAAGAATTTGCGACGGAATGCGACGGACTTATTTCCGTCGGTATAACGCTGTCGCAAACGAATAACGGTCGTTAATCCGTCGCAAAAGTGCGACGGAAAAAATCTGCGTTTTGCGACGGAAAGTGACGGATAATTCCGTCGCAAACTGCGACGGAATTTTTTCCGTCGCATTCCGTCGCAAATGTTTTAAAAAATTAAAAAAAAAATATAAAAAAATTATATACTATATACACATACATATATATATTTTTACATATACATACATTCATACATATACATTACACACATACAAATATACATACACATACATATATATATATATACACATATTTTCATATACACAAACACACATACACATTCACACATATACACATATATACACATATATAAATACTCATACACATATACATTTCCCAAACACATACACATACATATAAACACACACATATACACATATTCATATACACATACAATCACATATACATACACATACATATTCAAATTCACATATATATACACATACACATACATAAACACACACACATACACATTCACACATACATACACATTCACTTACACACATATATAAACACACACATACACATTCACACATACATACACATTCACTTACACACATATATAAACACACACATACACATTCACACATATATATACACATTCACTTACACACACATACACATACATAAACACATACAAATACATCAAACACACATATATATATATATACATAAATAGATATATATTACCTTATGGGAGAAATTTGGCGATCTTTGGAGGATTTAGAAAAAAAAATCGATTTTTTTTTTTTTGAAAATTTTTGAAGTCTGATGAAGAAGACGACTCGTGGTTTTATATTGCGTTTTGCGACGGAATTTTCCGTCGCAATCCGTAACAAAATAAAATTAATTTACGCGCCCAAAATTCAAAAAATTTCGTCGAAAAATGAAACCAAATACATTGCGACGGAATATTCCATCGCAATCCGTCGCAATTTTTATTTTCCGTCGCAAATCATCTATTTCTTTGTTGTGACAGAATTATCCGTCGCAAACCGTAGCAAATTGCGACGGATTTTGCGATTGTTTGCGACGGATAATTTTTTTCCACATTCTGTCGTAAAATCGTCATATTCCGTCGCAATTTTCTGTGCGACGGAAATTTCCGTCGCAAATTCCGTCGCTATATGTAGGTTTTTTTGTAGTGTTTATCATTATTTGTTATTATAACTAGGGTTAAGACCATTAACGGCTTTGAGATCATAACTAACGTTGACAGTGTCAGCCTTGAAAGACTGGTAAGGAGATCTTCGATCATTGGAAATATTGCGATGTCATGTGATAGGAAAAAACGTAGCGTTGTAATTAATAAAATCGGGTTTTTTTTCTTTATTTATAATGATAACATATAATATTTCTATATAGGGTATCTTCAAAGGAGATAAAAATATGAAAAACTTCCGTGTCGTACTAATCATAGAGTATAGGAGAACAACTAACTCTATTGGATAATTCAGAGTTCATGGAATCATAGAGAATAATGCAAACAAATACATCAATTTCTCAAGTCGCTAATAAATACACAAAATTGCACATTTATGACATATTCCCTCAAAACATCTAACACCGTTACTAAGTTGATTATTCACCATGTTTAAATTATCACGTCGACAAAATTGGTTCAGTATGAACGAAAAATTGAACCCGTTAGTAAACAAGAATTTTTACATGGTTTCCAGAAATCGTCATCAACGACGACAAATTGCTGATTTTGTTTCCGTAGATCGTCATCAACGACGAAACTAGATATTCATAATGATTATGAATCAGGGCCAACGCGTGCGGAAAAAGAAAAACCTAAAAATTACGTTGGTAATGAGCAAAAATAGGAATTAAAAAATAAAAGCCTTAGGTTTGGCGATATTGATGAGTATTTAAATGTTTTGTGTACTAATTAATCTTTTGTGCAGTTAAGAAATTATTTTGTTTTATGAAATATGTGTAATCAGGTTCATATCATAATAATACAAAAGAAAAGTCCAACTGTATTTATATTCATACGACGCTTCCAAAATGGTATTGCAGAACCTCAACGTGTCAATTTAAACCACGTGGCTGTTGGAAATCTTTCAAAGCGAAACCATAGGGATAATAATACAAAAACACCAAACACAATTCCTTGTTTGTTACCACAAACCGATAACATAATAAAAGAGAGAAAAATATTTAATTTTGATCCATAAAGGCACCCTCACATTTTTTTTTTAAAAAAACTTTATGCAGATTTTATTTATAGACTTTACCACATATTTATAAGAGAGAAAATACAATCTAAATAAATCCCACTAACCACTAACACTAGTTGTCCTATTCTTAAGCTAGAGACTATTGATTAATTACAATAAAAACAAAAATCAATTAAAACACAAATATCATAAAAAATGTATTTATAAGCGAGTTAAGAAATTGGTGTATTTAATTGTCATTTTTAGACAAATTGGTGTATTTATTTACCATTTTCCCTTGGGCTACGATTTTTTTTTTTTCTGAGTTAAGGCCCAATTTTTTTTTTGTTATAGCCCAATAAAACCCCAACGACCGAAGATCTCAATTCTGAGGTTACGTAATATTACCATAATTTCGGTTCCCTCTACACCATGATTTGAAATTTGACATTTTCTCAAAAGCGTCTCTTTTTTTTTTTTTTTGTGGGAATTTGACATTTTGTTCATCATCCAATAAGATAATATACCCTTAAACACGGTTTCTCTAGAGATAGATGCTACTTCGATCTAACCATATCCTTCACAAAGATAAGTCTAAAACTCGGAAAAAGTAGGCACACCTCTAGAACTCGACGGTCACTTGTTCAATTCATCCAACACTGCCTCGGTGAACTTAGCCATCAGATTGTGCTTCTTCACCTGCAATCGCGTCTCTTCGAACCGGTAGGCCTTCCATAGATCATTCCACTCATTCCCCCTACCTCCTTTGAAAATTCCGACTTTCCCCATAAGCAACCTCTTCTGAAGTTCACCCACCATCCCATTTGCCACTACTGTGTCGAATGCATCCTGCAAGTAGGGATATTGGCCCCATATACCGTCCCTTCCTCCATTCTCATGGCAAGTTTTATCCATAACCATTTCAATTCTACCATCTACCACTTCAGGGTTCGACTTTTTGAAAGCTTCATCCATAACCATTCCGATTCTACCATCTACCACTTCAGGGTTCGACTTGGCTTCACCGTTCTCTTTCTCGTTAGCCATACCGATCCTATCGTCTAACACTTCAGGGTTTGACTTTGCTTCACCGTTGTCACTGTTCTCTTTTCCATCATCAACCTTTTCTATGACCATTTCAATCTCATCATCAACTAGTTCATGGCTGCCGCCGTTTTCCATTCTGTTACACTACTCTTTCTCGATACCCATATCAGTCCTATCATCTAACACTCCAGCATTCAAGTTGGCTTCAGCAGCAGCACCCCCCCCAGCCGCATCCGCTAGATCGTCAAAGACACCTCTTCGCTTCTCAGGCGCCACTGAATCAGATTTCCTAGCTCTCTTCCTACTATCGTCAACCCTCACAGTTTCTTCATTAGATTCAGTCTTACCCCAAATTTTCTTGGACAGCTTAAAAGCTGTTGAATCGTGAGTCTTGTTAAAAACCAGATCTTCGCCCTTTTCGCTTTTCTCCGAGATGTCATGAAACTTCCTCTTTAGTTTCCTCACTTTGCTCATCAGTTGACTCGTAGACACACCCACATGGATGGAATCCTTGATGAAGTCTAAAAATGCAGCCGCGTCAGTGCCCGGATCGGTTCCTGTCTTGGCCCTGAACTCAATCACTCCTTTCAAGATCGCAATCTCGTCTTCCTTGCTCCAAAGCCGTTGGATCGCTCCCGAACTCTTCTTCATCTCCTCGTCTTCTCCACCAGCGACTGGCTTCGGAGCCACCATCGAAGCCGAAGCCGACGATTTCTTCGCCTTCTTCTTCTTTATCGTCAACTCTCCATTATATTGTTCACTGGGTCGATTAGAACCGGACCTCGCCGAGGATCTCTTCGGATCGTCGGGAGAATTTTCGCCAGCGATGACCGGCTGAATCGGTTGGATGATGAAACCCGAGACGCTGGGAGACTGCGGCGTACCTCCGATGTCAGATTCGGACACAGAACGAGCAGGAGAGTGTGGTTCAGAACCTCCGTCCATGGCATTGTCTCCACCTACGACGGAGTTTCTGATCTCGTTGTCGGAATGGACAGCCGGAGGGTTCGGGTTCCGGAAGTGCTGCCGCTTCAGACGAGTCATTGTTGCTAGGGTTGAGAGAGAGAATTAGGGTTTCTGAAGAGAGGAATTGGGGGAAAATGAGAAATCTTTAAAGAATCGAAGAGACTTATTTGTTCCACAAGAAAAACTAAGCGGCTCGCTCTACGTTTCAACTTCCAAAAGGTTGAGCCCAAAACCCGACAACGGGCCTTAATTGTTTTTTGCATTACAATGATTTTTTCGGGAAAATAAAAAAAATAAACTTTACCATTTTAACATTAAAAGCACCGAACTTTTATTTTTATAGAATAATCATTCAACTTTTTAATTAAATTTAAAAATACTAAACTTTTTTAAACGATCTAAAAAAATATATAATCTTTTATGCTAAACTTTTTAAATAATTTAAAAAATATATGAATTATATACAATTATAAAAAAAGCCAACTACAATAATTTGACATGTTTAATGTCAATTTATTTGTTTATTTTGACAATCGTAGAAGAATTAATTGTATTTTTTATAAATTTTAAAAGTTTAATATTTATTTAACAAAATAAAAAATTTAATGTTTTTTTTATCAAAATAAAAAATTTTAGTATCTTTTTCTTACAATATCAAAAAAATTATTTACATGCATAGATCACATGAATTCGAAAATATACTACATAATATCTACATATTTTTTGTAATGAATTTAGAATAGTAATTGAAAAATCGAAAGTCGAATGGATTTATGGAAAAACATAAGAAAAAAATATCTTATGTCTTAGTCTATATTATATAAAAATTATTTAAATAATAGTAAGAAGAAGAAAAAATCTCAAAAAACTACTAAATTTTATAATTTTGATAAAAAAATAAATTTTTTATTTTGTCAAATAAATATAAAATTTTTTAAGTGAGTTTAAAAAAATACTAATTTTTTTAAAAAAACACTAAAATTTTAAATGATCCAAAAAAAATATATAAACTTTTATACAATTACCAAAAAAATACTAAAATTTTTAAATAATTCATAAAAGTACATGAACTATATATAATTATCAAAAAAATAACTACAATAATTTGACATGTTTGAATTTTCTTTGTCTTCATTTGTTTATTTTGATAATCGTAAAAGATTTAAATGATTTTTTTGGTAAATTTAAAAAAGTTTAATGTTTATTTGGTAAAATCAAAAGTTTAATATTTTTTTTATTAAAATAGAAAATTTTCTTTTTTTTTCATAATAATAATAATAATAATAATAAACAACAACGAAAAATACAAAAAAAATATATGAACTTTACAATTTTGACGTAAAAATAATAAAATTTTGTTTTCATCAAATAAATATTAAAATTTTTAAATAAGTTTAAAAAATACTAAATTTTTTAAATGATCTAAACAATACATAAACTTTTATACGATTGTCAAAAAAATATTAAACCTTTCAAATTATTCAAAAAAAATAATGAACTATATAAAATTGTTAAAAAAATAACTATAATAATTTGACGTTTATTTTGACAATCGTAGAAGAGTTAAGTGTATGTATTTTTATAATTTAAAAAATTTAATGTTTATTTGATAAAATTAAAATTTAAGTGTTTTTTTATTAAAATTGAAAAGTTTAGTACTTTTTGGGGATTTATCCTAATAATAATAATAATAATAATAATAATAATAATAATAATAATAATAATAATAATAATAATAATAATAATAATAATAATAATAAACTAGTTATTTAATTTGATCAACATGCGGAATTATTGCCCATTAGACTAAAAAAATCTGATCAGTAAAAGAAGTAGAAGTCATCAAAACTAAATTTTTAATAGATAATGAAACTGATTACACAATACCATATGGTCTAAATTAAATCAAATTGGGATCTATAGAAGGAGGTTTCGCGTGAACTGCAGCAATCTCTGCAATGATAAATATCGAAAATCAAAGTATTTTCAGAACCAATTCACTTCAAATAAGATGAATAATTTTGTTCCAAAAACTTAAAAAATCATCTGTGAAATTAATGACCTTCATCTGTCGGCCTCGGCCTCAGAAACAAAACATGAGGTTCCACCTCCAACTATGAAGCTTTGTCTGATAACGCCTAGGCTCCGAATTAGGGTCCGACTGGTTGTACCGCTGCGGTTGCGGTTGCGGTTAGTAGCGTTTTCAGAATGTTTAATAGCGGTTGTGGACAGTTGGTACTGATTGGTTGGTAAATAGTTGTTGGTGGCGATTGCGGTTGATTGCGGGTAGAAGTGAATGGTTGTCAACGTTTATAGTTGCGTTTTGATATAAATTACCAAAAAAGATATGAGTTTAAGATAATATTTCAAATTAATTGTAAATAATTTTTATATTATCATTTGATCAAAAAATATTTTATATAATTTATAAATAATTATATAAAAATATTTTGGAATATAAATTTAATCAATTTAATTTATATTTTATTAAAAAATAATTTTATCATAAAAATATTTAAAATAATTATTGATAAATCTAAAAATACTCAAATCATAATATCAAAAAATAAACTCAAATTATAATTCTAAACAAAATCATCAACAAAATATAAATAATATTTTACATAAAACATAATGTACTAGACAACTGAAATTATAACTTAAGAATTCTCCATAGAAAAAACATTCTGAAACAACCCACTCATCTAAGAAAAGCCCACTTCCAATTTGAAGGAAACTCATTCTTTAGATATTGTAAAACAATTAAAAAAACAAATGCATTTTAAAGTCAAATAAACCCAGTTGCTTCTAAAATTAAGGTGAAATGCCAAGAAATAAAAAACTCACCTCTGTGTTTCAACAATGAACCCAAGATCATTTCTATGGCTTTGCTTCTAAAACCAATTAATATTCAAAATATGTAGCCAAAATCTATACCCATTTGATCAAATGACTATGTATGCACTTGTAAATTAAGTGCAAACTTTAATAATTATTAATAATTAATATTACCAGTAGTGAAATCTATACAGGTAAATTGTCAAGAAAAAGTGACAGAAATTCCACCCGAAAAGAGAAAATTAATAGATTGCCCTGGTGACATTTCAGGATATCTATTGGGATCTAAATTAAATAAAAACTCCATCTAACTATATCTTTCATTTATATTTTAAAATCCATCATATATTTTTATAATTAATTTTTTTTAAATATTTAGTTTTTTTTTATTGTGATCAACTTCCAAAATGTAATATGCAAACTCTAATTTCCAAAAGAAGTGATTCCTTTTGTAATGCTCCAAATACCAATATTTTTTTTCACCCTTTGAATTAATTCTAAAGTATCAATCTTTGAATCATATATATATATTGTTTAAGGATTCGTCTGCTTCTTTACAAAAGTCGGTAATGGATGCCGAATTTCAAACCAGCTATGGATTCTATGGCATTAGAACTACGCACAAGCGCAGGGAGTAACAAGTGATATATAACAGAGAAGTTTTCAACTCCGATGCCATATTATATATATAAACACAGTTTGATTCTTTGTCTGAAAGTGTCCACTTTTTCATCTCAATGGATTTTGTCGTGATATTATGTATCCGATTGATGACTCTGAAACTAATTGATGATTCTTGGATTCGAGCTGCAAAAAGTTTCCTTTCTTGGCGGTCTCAAGAAAATTCTTCCAAGGCGGCTTTGGCTTTATTCTGGACCTCTGACGTTAAAAAAGCGGTCAAAGTGTTTGACGAAATGCTCATATGACTCCAAGTAATTTAATGGGGGGATTTACAAAAATGACTTTAAATGTCATTTTTACTTCACGTGATAACCCTCACTTTGGAAAAAAAAAAAGACAACATCATGTGATAACCTTGTAATAATATACTTCCAAAAATACCCTTCATTTTTTATTTATTATTAAATTTTAAAAAATAAATTTCAACTCTCTCTCCTCTTCCTCCTCTCTCTCTCCTCGTCCGCTTTCTCTTCTCTCTCGTTCAGTAGTCTTCACACTCTCTTCATCTCTACTCTTTTTTTAGCTAATTTGTTGCGAAAAAACAACATTAAGCTTGGGCATTTAATCGATTCAACATAAATCTGAATAAAAGGTAAGTATTGTTTCTAAATTTTGTTATTAAGTTTGGACATTTGTGATTTATTATTTTATCATTTTTATATTTAATCCATATGAATATGTTTGAAGCAAAAATGACATATATATCAGCAATACCATGATTCACGTTATTCAAACTGGTTGAAATCATTATATTTGTGAAATTCGTTAAAATGGGAGAATTCAGAAAACTGGTAACATATACATGTCGAAATGGTGAGACTGGTCATACTCCTAACTGGTCATACTTGTCAAAATTGGTCAAACTGGTCATATTCGTGAAATTGGTCAAAATGGTCATACTCATCAAACCTGTGACATTTTTCAAGTGTATCATTTTATCACATTTTGTGTTTATTTTATACAGGTATAATGGATGCAACTAATGAGAGGATGATGATTATTTATTATAAATCTGATGGCAAGTGGGTAGTAAAATCGATCGGAGCATATGAATGGGAAGGAAAGAAGAATACATGTTCGATAGGTTCAGCCAACATATCATTGTCATAAGATCATGCGGGTGGAATGTATTTCGATTTGTATTTGGTATGACTGGTTTGACCAGAATATGACCGTCTCGACGATTTTGGTAAACTGAGTTTGATTATGTAGGTGTAATGTACTTTTAAATTCGTATTTCCGTATTTGTATTTGATATCTCTACTTTGACCATATTATCATATGATTATGTGGGTTTAATGTACTCTTTCAAACCGATGAATCTCGTAATTTCGAATAGGTCTGACCGTCTGACCATGGTATGACCATATGACCGTCTAATCGTCTGACCATTCGGGTACGAAAAAAAAGACCTAAATTAAATTCAAACGATTAGAAAAGTTGTATAAGGGTTATAAGAATACTTTTTCATCGTTTTGGAGTTCTAATTTCGTGTGGAGAAAACAAATCTACCAACATAAGTCAATTGTGTCCAATGTGTTACACAAACACTACTAATAGTTTAGGTCTTCTTTGGAAAGAGTTACTTTGATATCAAAAAAAGATGCTCAATCCATATTGCTACGACCGATTTCAACTAGAGAAATCGATCATACGAGATGATTATTACGATGTTAACACTTTCAAACCGATGAATCTCGCAATTTCGAATAGGTCTGACCGTCTAACCATAGTATGACCATATGACCGTCTGACCGTCTGACCATTCGGGTACGAAAAAAAGACCTAAATTAAATTTAAAGGATTAAAAAAGTTGTATAAAGGTTATAAGAATACTTTTTCATCGTGTTGGAATTCTAATTTCGTGTGGAGAAAAAAAATCTACCAACATAAGTCAATTGTGTCCAATGTGTTACACAAACACTACTAATAGTTTAGGTCTTCTTTGGAAAGAGTTACTTTGACATCAAAAAAAGATGTTCAGTTCATATTGCTACTACCGATTTCAACTAGAGAAATCGATCATACGAGATAATTATTACGATGTTAACACTTTCAAATCGATGAATCTCGCAATTTCAAATAGGTCTGACCGTCTGACCATAGTATGACCATATGACCGTCTGACCGTCTGACCATTCGGGTACGAAAAAAAGACCTAAATTAAATTCAAACGATTAGAAAAGTTGTATAAGGGATATAAAAATATTTTTTCATCGTTTTGGAGTTCTAATTTTGTGTGGAGAAAAAAAATCTATCAACATAAGTCAATTGTGTCCAATGTGTTACACAAACACTACTACTAGTTTAGGTCTTCTTTGGAAAGAGTTACTTTGACATCAAAAAAAGATGTTCAGTTCATATTGCTACTACCGATTTCAACTAGAGAAATCGATCATACGAGATAATTATTACGATGTTAACACTTTCAAATCGATGAATCTCGCAATTTCAAATAGATCTGACCGTCTGACCATAGTATGACCATATGACCGTCTGACCGTCTGACCATTTGGGTACGAAAAAAAGACCTAAATTAAATTCAAACGATTAGAAAAGTTGTATAAGGGATATAAGAATATTTTTTCATCGTTTTGGAGTTCTAATTTTGTGTGGAGAAAATAATCTACCAACATAAGTCAATTGTGTCCAATGTGTTACACAAACACTACTAGTAGTTTAAGTCTTCTTTGGAAAGAGTTACTTTGACATAAAAAAAAAAGATGTTCAGTCCATATTGCTACGACCGATTTCAACTAGAGAAATCGATCATACGAGATGATTATTACGATGTTAACACTTTCAAACCGATGAATCTCGCAATTTCGAATAGGTCTGACCATCTGACCATGGTATGCTAACACCTTCATTGCTATATATTTGAAGAACACTTCGAAATCCCTGAAAAAATGGCTCGTGTGACTACATTATGACAGGTATGACCAATTACAAATTGGTCATACTAATCACAAACTGGTCAGACCAATTCAATTTGTCAGACCAATTCAATTAGTCAGACCAATCCAACTGGTGACACTATAAAAGAAATCACCAAATTAATATGTATCTTTGAGGTATCGCCAATCTGTTTATACACCTTTGCATATGTATAAAAAGATCCGGTTTGATGCATTTCTTGCACATCCTAGGACAAGTCGGATCGATACCTTCAACATCAATATACCATCCATTTGCGCCTAAACTTTCGATGCATTCGAAAGGAAGAAACTGCAATATACAAACCAATTCATTATACAATTTCCGAATCTGATCGCTAATCTTAACGAAGGTGTATCTTCTCCAGGGAAACCCTTCACAGAAGTCCAGACTTTCGACCATGTCCACCAAATCACTGTTTAAAACAATACAATTATTGCTAATCTCTTTCTTTCTTCCACATTTGCATGTGGAGTTTCGCGCAACTTCTTTAATGCAGCTTCTATGGTAACTTTTGAAGTTCCGAATATTCTTTTCCGAAATTCACTTCCCTTACATTTAGTCCAGTCCTCCGAATAGTTGTTAAAATTTAAGTCGGAGATAATGGCATGTTCCTGGATCGAGTATCTGATGGGCACGCCATTTACAACAAACCAAAACTCTTTTTCCTCTCCTTCCAACCTTAATGCACGGTGTTGAATATCCTTGAAAGCGTACACAAAAGGGACCTGCAACAATTAGATTAACTCTCATGATCAGTTTTATTATATTACAATTACGAAACAGACTATGATTACAATAAATCTGGTCATACCAGTGAAGTATGACCACTTCACGGGTCTGACATTTAACCGGTCTGACCATTTCGCTCGTCTGACCACATCACGGGTCTGACCACTTCACTGGTCTACCCACTTCACGAGTCTGACCATTTCACGGGTCTAACCAGACTTCACTGGTCTGCCCACTTTACGGGTCTGACCATTTCACGGGTCTGACCACTTCACTGGTCTGTCCACTTCACGGGTCTGACCATTTCAAGGGTCTGACCACTTCACTGGTTTCTCCACTGCACGGGTCTGACCATTTCACTGGTCTGACCATTTCATTGGTCTACCCATTTCATGGGTCTGACTAATTCGAGTAATATAACCGTCTGACCAAAAAATTCGACTTTCATTAACTATCTTTCTGAAAATCTCTATTTTTCACCTAAAACCCTAATTTTTCTAACCCAAACGACTCGAACATTACTCTATTGGAGTTTAAACCCGAAACAAACACATAAACACAAAGACAAAGAGAGGACGAACGACGCAATCAATTTTTTCGGTGAGTGTACCATACCTGTAGATCTTCTGAAGTAGAAACCGAAGCAGTAACCGAAGGAGAAGCCAAGGATGAAGCCATTTGTGCCGACAGAAGACGATTTTGTAAGAAGAACCCGAGAGATTTGCGCGATTGAAGAAAGAAACCGGATGAGAGGAGAAGACGTTTGTCCGTTCGTGTTTGTTTGTTTGAAAATTTGGAAACACAGAGAGTTGTTGTCGTTTCCTACTTTCCATTGAGTTGCCACGTATTCAATATTTTAAGGGCAAATTAGTCTTTTTATCATTTTAGATTTTTTTTTAAAACCCTAAACCTAGAGGGTCATGCCGTGAAGTCCAAATCGACAAGTTGGGTTATTTTTGCAATTTTGCCAATTTAATGTTTGCACCAAAAAATCCGGAACTCCATACTCTTTCACAGGTAAGAGTAGATTATGATCACGTTTCAGTCAATGGGCACTTGGTTGTTCCTTTGATTTCACCCATTTGTTTATTCATCGGTTCAGTTCCTCCATGCTTGGCGAGATTCTGTCGGGATCTTGCTATCTTCTTTGCCTCTGACTGGTACCCCACGTAATTGGTCCCGATAATTATTGAAGATCTGATCTGTTTTGTCATTTAGGTATAGGAAAAGTCAAAACTTTCTGGCATTTGTGAAGCCAATCAGAGCTTTCTTGTTTTATGTGTAAACCACAATAGACCAAATAGAAAGTTCAATGAAAGTTGCTTTGCACACTTGGGAGTGCATGAGCTTTCTTTAGTTGTAGTTCTTGATGAAGTGACTCCTACAGAAAACGGATTTGTTCTTTTTTTCTTTCCCAATTTTATATCATATGATCTTGAGAATAAGATGCTGATGACATCACATGCCATTTTTTTTTATAATGGTTGCCCAATGGGATTTCAACCTTGGGTGGAAGCACAAGCCATTTTTCTTGCTGCTGTAGCTTTAGTTATATGCTGAATCCGGCTGTCTACTTTCTTTGATGTCTCTTACGATGGCACAACCAGGTGGACATGAGAAGTCTGAACCTAAGGGAATAGAGTTTGCAAAGGTTGGAAGAAGCATTGGATCATCAGAAATTCCATCTTGGAACTCTACTGATGGTGATGATGGGGTGCATTTCTCACAATGGGCTGCTGTTGAGAGATTACCTACGTTTAAAAGGACTAGAACGGCGTTGTTCTGCGAAAAAGATGAAGCAACGGGTAAAGGGAATGAGAACGGGAGACGGGTTGTGGATGTTACCGAACTCGAAACTCTTGAGAGGCATTTGTTTATTGAGAAGCTCATCAAGAACGTTGAGAATGACAACCTCCGATTACTGCAGAAGATCAAGAAGAGAATTGACGAGTAAGTCTCCCTCTCTTGATTCCGTATCGTTTTTGTTTTGCTTTCATCCTGCAGTGTTATAGTCTTGGGCAGCAGATGAATTCATAACACTATTGGTATATTGTTAGGTGTACCTAAAAGTTGTAATCTTGAAATATAAATTTTATTAACCTTTGACAAATATCGATTCTATGTGCATGTTCGATCGTAACGTTTCTCCTTCAAATCATGGTTACACATGCTTGTAGAGTTGGCATAGAATTACCAACAGTGGAAGTGAGGTTCAAGGACCTTGCCGTTGAAGCAAAATGTGAAGTAGTTCGTGGAAAGCCTCTTCCGACCATTTGGAACGCTATCACGAGCATATTATCCGTAAGTAACATCCTTCCTATGGTCTTCATTACTATCCTTGAACTAGGATTTATACTTTTAGTGAGTGTCTGCCTTTTCCCTTTAGATTCTTATAGAACAAACCAATTTAAACTTTGATGGTTTTACAGGGAATTATCTGTTCAAAGCAAAAAACAAAGATAAGCATTTTGAAAGGCATCAGTGGCACCATAAGGCCTGGGAGGTAAACTTTTCAAGACGTTAAGTTCTGGTAGTTTGTTTTCTCATTGAATTTTTTTTCTCGTTAAGATTATCGCAAAATCAAGAATTCGTATGTGTTTTCTTGTAGAATGACGTTATTAGTCGGCCCTCCCGGTTGTGGCAAAACCACGTTGTTACGGGCACTCTCCGGAAGACTTGACCATTCTGTTAAGGTTTGATTAAAGAAGTGAAAACAGAAGTTATCAATAAACCGTATAGCTATTCACAAATCATAAGAATTACATTCACGTTACAGGTTGAAGGACAAATAAATTACAATGGCTGCCTAATTACAGAGTTTGTTCCTGAGAAAACATCGAGCTATATTAGTCAAAATGATCTACATATTCCTGAGCTAAGTGTGAGAGAGACTCTCGATTTCTCTGCGTGTTGCCAGGGCATAGGAAGTCGTTCGGGCAAGGACCATATTTTCTCTCTTTCTTTTCCTGAAATTGTTTTGTATAGTTCAGTTCATGCTGACTGACCATTTGCTTTATCAACAGAAATTATGAAAGAGATTAGTAGAAAGGAGAAGCTGGCGGGAATAGTTCCAGATCCCGACATAGATGCATACATGAAGGTAACTAGTATGGGTGTTAGATACCCAGAGCTAGTATCCAGAGGCTCCAGATAGAAAGGATCTTGAAACGCAGAATTAAACGATTTTTCCCCTTGCTAATTCATCTAGAAATATAATTCAGAGCTAAAAAATCTCAACATGTTCGTTTTATGGCAGGCGGTTTCAGCACAGGGTTTGGTGAATAATCTGCAAACTGACTATATCCTGAAGGTCGTCTCTTCCTGTATCATTATTGTTTCTCTTGTTTTAGACCATTTAACTGATTGTTGCGCTTATTACAAGCTCATGTATCTATCTTTCAGATTCTAGGGCTCGAGATCTGTGCAGACACACGGATCGGAGATGCCACGAGACCAGGAATATCCGGCGGCCAGAAGAAAAGGCTGACTACAGGTACTTTTGGTTTCAGAGATTTGTTAGGGGGTATTGTTGCAAGCAAATTCCCTGTTTCAAATTGCCTGTCATCTACTGCAGGGGAGATGATTGTCGGTCCGATTAAAACTTTGTTCATGGATGAGATATCGAATGGTTTGGATAGCTCCACTACATTCCAGATAGTATCATGTCTCCAACAGTTTGCGCATATAGGCGATGCCACCATATTGATTTCACTTCTTCAGCCTGCACCAGAGACATTTGAGCTTTTTGATGATGTAATCCTTATGGCAGAAGGAAAGATAATTTACCATGGCCCACGAGTTTATATCTGCAGATTCTTTGAGGGTTGCGGGTTTAGGTGTCCAGAGAGAAAAGGCGTGGCTGACTTCCTTCAAGAGGTGCAGCAGTTGGAGTAGTGATATTTTTTGTATCTACCAGATGGAAAGCCTTGTTGATCATGTTCTTCTTCTGTAGGTTATTTCAAAAAAAGATCAAGAACAATATTGGTGCTGCAAAGACAAACCATACAGTTATATTTCAGTCGACTCATTTGTTGAGAAATTTAGAGAATCGGATATTGGTTTCCAGTTAGAAGAAGAGCTCTCAAAACCAGTGGATAGGTCTGAGACTCACGAGGATGCTCTATGCTTTAGAAAATACCCGTTGAGTAGATGGGAGATGCTAAAGGCTTGCTCGAGGAGAGAATATCTTTTGATGAAACGAAATTCTTTCGTCTATGTATTCAAATCTGGACTCGTATGTTCCTTTACCAAGCCAAATCTCTCTTATGGTTTATGGATTGTACGCTAACCTTTTCTTCTTTTATGCAGCTTGTTTTTGTTGCCTTGGTTACGATGACTGTTTTTCTGAGGAATGGAGCGAAAACAGATATCCTTCACGCAAATTATCTAATGGGTTCTTTATTCTTTTCGCTAATCATTCTCCTCGCTGATGGACTTCCAGAACTTACATTGACTGTCTCAAGACTTGCAGTGTTCTGCAAGCAGAAGGATTTATACTTTTATCCTGCTTGGGCATATGCAATTCCTTCGGCTATCTTAAAGATTCCACTTTCACTTCTTGAGGCATTCATTTGGACAGTGATGACATATTATGCTATTGGTTACAGCCCCGAGATCGGGAGGTTAAGTAACTTGAATGCACCTTCAATGGTGAATGCACATCCACGGAGAAAAACTGTGCTGATCGATTGACAATTTTACATTATTTCAGGTTCTTTCGGCAATTGCTGATCTTTTTTGCATTACATCTCGCATCTATATCCATGTTCCGTGCTATAGCCGCTGTCTTCCGTACATTTGTTGCTTCCACGACTGCTGGAACTATTTCCATAGTGTTTCTCTCTCTATTTGGAGGTTTCATTGTTCCCAAGCGTAAGTTGCTAGTATATATTCCTCGATTTAAGTCTTGAAACTGTAGCGCAACTGCTATAACGGTTTGACTCTGTTCATTAACTGAGTATTGAGTATTGGATTTATAGATAGACTATTGGTTTTTTTTTGGATGCCATTCTTGTGCTAATGATAACTTCTATTCATGTTCTTCGTTTTTTTCCAGCATCCATGCCTGCTTCGCTGGGATGGGGATTCTGGCTTTCTCCACTGTCATATGTTGAGATCGGTGTAACTGCAAACGAATTTTTCGCTCCTCGGTGGAAAAAGGTAATAAATACTTTACAAAAGCCTCATAATACCAGCATAGCTATTCCATAGAAGCTTTCTAGTCCATCTTCATGGATTTCTATATTTTGGATATTTTCGAATGCATTTGGTTTCATCCCGCGTAAAAACCTTAATTTTACATTTCAACAAAAAAGAAAATGACAGCTTTTCCACTTAGCTGATCCTCTACATCTTTCACAAAAGATAACTGTTGGGAACACTACGGTGGGAGAACAAGTGCTCGATGCCCGTGGATTGAACTTTGGCAGTCATTCTTACTGGGCAGCTTTCTGCGCTTTGATTGGATTTACGCTGTTCTTCAATGCTGTTTTTACCTTAGCCTTGACCTTTCTGAAGAGTAAGTTCAAAAGAGATACATAGAAATGACATAACGGAGTCGTATCGATATTTTGAGGATTTATCTCTTTAATTTCAGCTCCACAAAGGTCTCGTGCCATCATTTCTCACGGGAAGAGATCTCAGGGTTCGGAACAAGATTACAAACTGTGTACTGGAATCACTCCCAGATCTAAAAAGGGTATCTCACATTATCTATCTGTACATTATTATTTGTTCGTGATAGAGAGAGATGTGTGACTAGGCATCCCTTGGATCAATTCGCAGGTAAAATGGTCTTGCCTGTCAAGGCTCTCACTCTCACATTTAAAGACGTGAACTATTTCATTGAGACCCCTCAGGTAAACACTGTCTATGATAAATCATGTTCTTGAATAATTGAATTCTTGAAGACAGAACATGAGTTAATGTATGCCTGCTTCGCATTTTGTTTAAGGGAAAAAGGCTGCAGCTTCTCTCTGATGTTACCGGGGCATTCAAGCCTGGTGTTCTTACAGCTCTGATGGGAGTTAGTGGAGCCGGGAAAACAACTCTGCTCGATGTTCTTTCGGGAAGGAAAACCCGTGGTATTGTTGAAGGAGAAATCCGAGTAGGCGGGTTTCTCAAGGTTCAAGAAACATTTGCACGTGTATCGGGTTATTGTGAACAGTTTGATATTCATTCTCCCAATATAACTGTGGAAGAGTCCTTGAGATATTCCGCTTGGCTTCGGCTACCTCATGACATCGACGCAAAAACTAAGAGAGTAAGGCATCGAACTCTGGTAAAAAAGAATCTAAAACCAGACACTGACAGATATTTTGTCTGAGGATTTTCTCGATTCTGCTTCAGGAAATCGTCAATGAAGTCCTTGAGACAATAGAACTTGAGGAGATTAAAGATTCAATGGTGGGAACTCCTGGAAGTAGTGGTTTGTCTACAGAACAACGTAAAAGGCTGACAATCGCCGTGGAGCTTGTTGCTAACCCTTCAATCATATTTATGGATGAGCCCACGACAGGACTAGATGCAAGAGCCGCTGCAATTGCCATGAGAGCTGTGAAGAACATCGTAAAGACTGGAAGGACAGTGGTTTGCACCATCCACCAGCCAAGCATAGGCATCTTCGAGGCATTTGATGAGGTAAAACAACTAAAATTTCATCACTTCATATCTAAATCTTAACACTTCTATCAGTTTCTTCGTATGTCCCTTCTTTTCAGCTGATTCTGATGAAAAACGGGGGACGGGTTATTTATTACGGCCCTCTGGGACAACAGTCATGTAAAGTTATCAAATACTTCGAGGCAAGTTTCTCTATAATAACCCACAATGTTCTATACAGTTGGTATATTTAGCTTGTTTCATTGATGATTCTCATAGGACTATTTACCACAGAACATTCCCGGAGTTCCAAAAATTAAGGAGGGCTGTAATCCAGCCACTTGGATGTTAGACATCACTTCTCTGTCTTCAGAAAAGAGGCTCGGTATAGATTTTGCACACGAATACGAATCAACCTTGTATAAGTAAGTATATGGGCAACCTTCTTGATCTCTCCATGTGTGCATCATGGGCATGCTCCTCGAAAATTCTCAGAATCTAAGAATCAAGGCATGCTTCATCTATTATTGACTTAAACATAGAGTAGGCTTCAAAGCCGTTTTTAGATGTAGATTGATGTATTAAACAGTAACCCATCCTGATTCTAGAAACAAATTATCCATAGAAAATGTGATGATGAGCTACATTTACTCGTGATTATTGTGATGAAGTCCAACAGGTATTCCCTTAAGTACCGTCCATGAGGATTGATGAAGAGAATTCGAAACAGAACAGAACATTCTGAAAAAATCAGAGTTCTGACAATGATAGTTGTTTGGATTTGTTGTTGCAGGGAGAACAAACTGGCGGTTGAGCAACTGAGCTGTCCATCCCCGGGATCAGAAGACTTGAGATTTTCTTCGTGTTTTGCTCAAACAGGTTGGGAGCAATTCAAGGCATGTCTTTGGAAACATCATCTGTCATATTGGAGAAACCCTTCGTACAACCTCACGCGCATCCTCTTTGTGTGCCTCAGCTCTGTTCTGTATGGCCTTCTCTTCTGGCAGAAAGCAGATAAAATGTTAGTCTCCTCCACCACCTTTGCTTTTCTTTTCCATCCATGTTTCATACATATTTTCATGTTTAAGCACAATTTATAAGCATTGAATTGAAGTATCGAAAGCTGGGTTTGATTTAAGAACAGCGATGAAATCATATCAGTTTCAAATATATACCACTGAACTTAATTTTCTTGTTGAGAAAGATTATCTTACTAAAATTCTGTTCCTATATTTCTCCAGAAATAACCAGCAGGATCTTTTCAACATATTGGGTTCGATGTACAATACAGTTCTCTTTACGGGAATAAACAATTGCTCGACAGTGCTGTACTGTGTTGCTACAGAACGAAACGTCTTCTACCGGGAAAGATTTGCTCGAATGTACTCTTCATGGGCGTATTCATTTGCTCAGGTTAGTAATGGTTATGCTCAAAACCGGGTTTTTATTTGATGCAAACAACCTTTTAGAAGGATTCAACGTCTGAATTTAAACTGATGGATACAAAGGGACACTCACAAAACATGCCTTCATTTGCAGGTGCTAGTCGAGGTTCCTTATTCGCTCGTACTAACCCTTATGCATGTGATGATAATATATCCTATGATCGGTTACTACTGGTCGGTCCACAAGATGTTATGGACCATCTACAGTGTTTTCTGCTCGCTTCTCATCTTCAACTACTTTGGAATGCTTCTGGTTGCCATTACTCCAAATCTTCACATAGCTTTCACCCTCCGCTCGTCTTTTTACACAATGGTGAATCTCTTCTCCGGCTATGTCATACCAAAATCGGTAAGTTCCCGAAACTCTCATGCATATTACATGCACAAAAGATTTAGGAATAATCGCCTAAAAAATCACGAACTTTAACAAAAAAGTTCCATATAAAATCATTAACTTTCTGAATCTCATCATATTCTCATGTGTTCGTTAACTTTATAAACTTAGTAACTTCTATATAAAACCATAAACTTATGAATTTTGCGAGAATGTGACAAAATTTATAAAGTCCATGATTTTATATGTGACAAGCATATATTCATTGTGATAAAGAGAAACATATATACGAGTTAAACTCATTGTAATAACATTATATGTATGTTGCTGCAGAACATTCCGAGATGGTGGGAATGGATGTATTACCTGAGTCCGACATCATGGGTGTTAAATGGATTACTCACTTCGCAGTACGGAGATGTCGAAAAAGAGATATCGGTGTTCGGACAGAAGAAGACAGTTCCGGATTTCTTGGAAGATTACTTTGGTTACAGACGAGATTTCTTGGCTGTTGTCGCTGCTGTTCTCTTTGCTTTTCCCGCCCTCTTAGCCTTTCTTTTTGCATTCTTCATCGGCAAACTCAATTTCCAAAAGAAGTGATTTTGACACATATTGTCATCCTTTTTTTTTTATGTAATGGTTATGGGAAGAACACTAAAACATTAGATGGTGGATATATATGTTATTTGTAAAGCTTATTTGATTATTTTCTTTCTTATATTTTGCTACAAAATATATATGTACCTCCTCTGAAGTAAGCATAATCTTTTAGGCCCACATTATTATAATACAAAATAGAAATTACTCCAATTAGTCATAATAATTCCCTTTATATTAGTAGAGGTGGGCCTAATAGACTCCAATATTGAGCCCATTAAAAATATTAAATTTCGGCCCATCAAGTCCGTAAAGGAAAAATGAGATTTTCCATGGTCCAACCCTTGATTTTTTTTAGAGGTATCATCTTTGCTGATTTTAAAAAATAATTATCTCGTTTTTGTTTTCGTTTTCGTTAAGTCCGAATACCCGCGATTCGGCTACCCGTTGTTGAATTCAAAAATCCGAGAGTATCCGAATCTGTGAAAATCTTAAGAAAACCCCTGATTTTTGTTGACTTTTAAAGGTATTTTGATAATTATATTTAAATATTATTATAAATACATTAAGGGTTCGACTGGTTGTACCGCAACGTTTGTGGTTGCGGGTGATAGTGTTTTCTAAATGTTTGATAGCGATTATAAATGATTAATACTGACTGGTTGAGAAATTATTGTTGTTAGCGATTGCGGATGGGTGCAGTTAGAAATATTTAATTATTATAAATTTAGTAAATAATTTTTATCAAATGATACTAAAAATTTGATTAAACTTATTATAAAAAATTATTTTAAAATAATATTTTTTTATAATTTATATCAAAACGCAACCGCAACAAACCATTCACTTCTAACCATACCCACCCGCAATCACTGCCAACAACAACTTATCAACCAATCAGTATTTATCATTCATAATCGCTATCAAACATTCTGAAAACGTCGTCACCCGCAACCGCTGCGGTACAACCAGTCTGAACCCTGACTCGAGATTGTAAGGACTCGACTGGTTGTACCGCAACAGTTGCGGTTGCGGGTGGTAGCGTTTTCAGAACGTTTGATAGCAATTATAAATGATTAGTACTGACTGGTTGAGAAGTTGTTGTTGGTAGCGATTGGGGGTGAGTGCAGTTAGAAGTGAATGGTTCATTACGGTTACGGTTGCGTTTTGATATAAATTGTCAAAAAAATATTATTTAAAAATAATTTTTTATAATAGTTTTAATTAAATTTTTTGTATCATTTGATAAAAATTATTTACTAAATTTATAATAATTAAATTATAAATTTAAAATATAAATATTATCAATTTAATTTATTTTCAAGTAAAAAATAATTTTATTATAAAAATTATTAAAAATAATCATTATTAAACCTAAAAATTATACTATTATATTTTTTATTAAAATATAATACTAAAAAGTAATATCAAATCATAACACTAAACAAAATCATCACCAATATATATATATATTAATATTTTATATAATTTCTAATAAAAATATTTTAGTTTTTTTTGTCAAAACGCTGGAAACCGCTACCAAAACGCAAGTTGGAAGCTACGATTAGAAAATACAAGTTTGGTTGCGGTTCAACCATTCAGTTTTTCAATCGTCCGCAACCGCCGAAAATCGCAACTGCTCCGTTTGCGGGTGGTGGCGGTGCAACTAGTCGGCCCCTAAAATATCGAGGATATAAATGTTATTTTATTAATATCCGGATACCGCGGGTAATCCATCACCCTTCAAAAAAACCCAAACCCACGGTTCTGATTTTTTACTTTATCACACATGTCTTCGTCTTCGTTGCTGAAGAGAGTATCCGCATTTTGAATATCGTGAAACCGGATATCCGAAAACCCGCGAATTTCATATAGTTGTGCCCAACCCTAGTTCAAAAGGTGGGTGTAGTGATAAATTACATGTATACAAAATCCCAATGATTGAAAAACATTGGATATTTTTTAATAATTTTAATTTAGAAATTAATCGAGTATTAACAAATCAACCGTGAGAATTAGAGTTCTGATTTTACTAATATCATGAATACCGATTAAACCGTATCATTAAATCTCTTGATGACAAATAATTGAAATCAGAATTGAAACCTAATTAACTTTATTGTTTAATCAAAAACACCATTTGTTACGGGTGACTACTCTATTATTTGATGTATTTTCTTTCGGAATTAAATTTCAAAGTTTTAGAGTGGCAGCAACATTGTCATATATAAAATACATCCAAGTCAAACTCTCACATATATATATACATATAGTATAATAGATGTGATGGTCAAAGTGTGTACATAGATAAGTGGTGGTGTTTATATTTGACTATACAAAATTGTGTGTTGTGGAGAGCAACATGTCATTATTGGCTCTTAAATACTATTAAGAATATATTTGCAATTGAAGCCAACTATAACATATTAAGTAATTATATATATATAGCATTTTTATTTTATTTTCAAAAACATATATATATATATAACCGCATTTTTTAGTCAAAAAATTAATAAATAAGTATATATGCATTATTCCTGTAAATCCATAATATATATGCGCCTGTATTTGGGTTTGGAAGTTTATAAATATTTTACTACAAAAATTGAAAGAAAAAAAAGCTATTGATTTTTCAAGAAGACATTTGGTGGAGTGGCCGCACTTATCATCAATGATCTTATCCTTCGTTGACTTGTCTTCCATAGATTTGTGACATACACTAAAAACAAAGCATGCGACGGCGAATATAATCTCTTGGCTATACTTTTATTTTATTTAATTATCGTTACATATTTATTAAAACATGAAACCACGATCGCTCCACATCAAATTCTTCATCAATCAAGAGCTACTAACAAAAGGGTAAATCTCATACCTAAAATTACAGCTCGTACCCACAACTCTTCCACCTTCTTTACCGTCGCAACAATTGGGGAGCTCACCGATGATCCCATCCAGACAAGCCGTACATGCTTCACTCGTCAAGTCCCTCGTACACTGCACTAATCCGTACAACTTCTTCTTCCCGGAGCCAGCGCCGCCGTAGAGGTTATCTTCCCCGGCGGCGTAAAGCTTCTTCACGGCGGCTGCTTCTTTCGAGAGCCGGGAGAGGAGGTTCTTCGTCTGGGCGTTGAAAGAAGTCGGATCGGTCACGTTGTTGACGTTGTACAAGTAGAATTTGTTGTCGTAGTCTATCTTTCCAAAGAAGTTGATGGTCGAGTGCTTGACCAGACAGAAGTCGTACCATATTGCTCCGCCTTTGTTGTTCGGACATCTCTTACGTAACTGCCGAAAATATCCATGCAATAACATATATATATATATATATAAGCACGGTTAATTAAGAATATGACTATATATTTTCGTTAAAACAATTAATATTTTCTCAAAAACATGTTCAGCACTACATATAAATTAGGGCTGGGTGTTTCGGTTCGGTTCTTCGGGACTGGACCGAACCGAACCGAAAAAACGGTATTTTTTTCGACCCGAAACCGTTCTTAATTCCTGAACGGTACCATTTTTAGAGAACCGAATTTTTCTTGAACCGAACCGAACCGAGCCGAACTTTAAAAATCCCAAAAAACCGAATATTTTTAAAGGAAATCTATTTTTTTTATAAAACCCGGAACCGAACCGAACCGATACCGAACCAAAAACAATATAAAAACCGATTGGTACGTATTTTTGTAAAACCGAAAGAACCGAACCGATCTATTCTTGTCCCGAACCCGAACCATTTCCCGAAACGCCCACCCCTAATATAAATCATAAATTGCTAAAACAAATTCTGAACCGTTATATAGCTAAATCACGGAAAAAAAACCTATAACATATTATGATGATCATGTAATCGAATTTCTGAAGTTTATGTATCAGTATGTTTGGTATTTCTATAAAATATATATATATATATATATATATATATAATTCATATATACAATAAGTAGGAGAAAAAATATTATAAAAGTCCAACTCTAGAATTATATTAACTGTCCATAAATCCAATTGAAACCCTTTTAATCATTTTTTTGGACTAGTACTAGTGAAATGGTTCCCGTATGAGCTGAGGTCTTTATTTACTATGATCACAAGTTCATCATTATATTAGTTCAAATACGTATGTATGTGTGTATATATATGTATGGATATGTGTATATACATACCTCAGGGGTGGCGGCGGTGATGCAGGAGCGGCAGTCGGCTGGGGAGACATCGCCACGGCAGAGGGCTAGACCGTTAACTTTGTCGGGGGACTGACCGGCCGAGCCGAGGCCGAACCCTGTAGGAGGAGCTTTGTAAGAGAGGGAACCGAGGAGCATGTTTAGGTTAGTCTCGTACGGACTCTTCGTCGTGAAGGTTCCCTCTATGTCGGAACATACATGGAAGAGAAACGCGTTGTCTTGGGAGCTCGAAACGCTGCGTACAAGGAGAAGCACTGCCATGCAATGGAGCAAAACTAGGTTTTTTGAAGACATTATTGTTTCCTTTTCTCTCGAATTAGATATCTTTTTTTTTTTTTTTGGAATTTCAAATGGACATTTTGTGAAGGGAGTGCGGGAGAGGAGATGTTTATATAGTGATGGAGAGGGATCCGAATTTTGGGTTTGTTTTTAAAAAAAAATCATAAAAATTTTGAAAAATTCGTGTATGTGGATTGATTGGAAATCTTCAAAAATGTGGGGTTGCCTTGGAAGGTTCCATTGTTGAGAAAATTTTAATCTAGCTGATCAGATTGTTTATTATGTTATAGTCCTAAACGCACCATATAATATGATAATTTTTCTTTTTTAAAATTTTTTTTAATTCTATATATACATATTAAAGAATATATTTGATTGGTTCCTTAAGCTTCTAGAGAATGTGAGTTAGGTTTTAATTGTTGGGGAACGAATAAGTCCAATATATGATATATATATATATATATATATCAGGACATGATTTGCGGCGCTGTCGACCGATGAAGAAGTCAACGGTCAAAGGTTTGACCGAGTGAATGCACACGAGACGGTACCCAGGTCACCATTAATAATATATGTAAAGGCATCATATATAATGGTAAAGAGGTCCAACTTTATGTCATCCAATCATCTTATTATATGATCGGTTACCCCATTTTCTCTTGTTATTTGAGATATGATAAAGGACCACCACATCCGCTAATTAGTGACCACTACTATACCACTTGCCCATATTTTATTTTATTTTATTTTATGGGAAAATTATCCAATTACTGTCAGAAAAAATTAAAAAAAGTTAAATCATGAGACAAAAAGTATAAAACTTCCAATCTAATTCCTAACCAACAAGAAAAGAAACATAAGCATTTATCATCGCTACATTAGGAATAAAATCTTGTGTATTATTGATATTCGAATGATTTTAAATATATAATGTAGTTTTTTAAAAAAAAAAATAGGATTCATAATCCTTATCCTGATATATGATAAAGAACAGATAAATCAAATCCAAATAATAATACAAAATACAATAATATTTAAACTCTATTTTCTATACGAACTAAAATCCATCAAAATATTATTAATTTTTTAAAATATTATTTATATTCAAAATTTGGATATCACTCTTTATCTATCATTATCAAAACAAAGAAAAACAAAAATGAAAGCTAAAAAAATTGTAGACATATATATATATATATACGTATATATTACAAATTTACAATATACACATATATGCCTCGCATACAAAATCACCCATGTATATGCCCCCATACACATGGCCCCTGTTGATATAATATTATGTACACACGCGACATGCGTATATATATATTGTTGATATGAAATTAAGGATATTAATTAGCCTACTGAAACTGATATATAATAATTAATCAAGATAATATTTCTTCGTTCAAACTTCAGACATGTATAAGATAATGATATCTCCAAAGTGCATTATTGAATAAACACGATATGAGGAGATACATTACGATCACGAATACTATTGTTTCCAATAATATATATATTTTTTGTCAACAATAATATTTTAACTGTTATAAACCAAAATTAAAGTATTACCATGTATACAAGCCCCCGCCATATTTGTTAAAAGTTATACCCAACTATTTATTCTTTTATATAGTGATTATATATATATATATATATATATATATATGTTCATTACATATTTATATATATATTTAGTTACACCCCAGTTAAACATAATTTTTGTTGATTTATCGTTCATAGATTTTATGGGTTTTTTTTTATAAAATTTATGTAAAAAAATTCTGGAAAATTTATTTCTGAGGAACCACCTCAAATATGAGCGTTTATTACAGAGAAAATCCAGTGTCGGATAAATGGGAAAATAGGTGATGAAATCGATTTTATTGTTACATTCATTCATTCATGGCTCCTTAGTGGAATTTTCTCTGAAATTTCTGGACTTTGAAGCTGCAACTATCAAAAGAAATTTGTTACTTTCTTCACAAGAAACTGTTTGATCATTCAGAGAGTAAAATCTCCCCCCGTTTGGTGTTTTTATGCCATAAAACCCTACCACAAGAGATGGATTTTAGGGCTGAAACTGCAGAAACTTTTCCCCCAATTTGATGATCATGATCTAGTCTTTGTGCCCTACTTGATGGAAAAAAAAAAGATAATCTTTAAAAACATCCCAAAAAAAAAATCTTTTCACACACATAAGTTTCCATAAATGACATATTTATTACACAGTGGAATAACAAATATGCAGTTGAGACATTTAATACCTTGGTTTGATGGTTTCAGAAGCTCCTCAACTAAGGGATCATAATCATAAGAATCTCCTGCTTTCACAAATCTCCCTTTGACATGCATGTTTTCTCGTATCGGCTCTCGCTTTCCGTGATGCGTACTTTATCTGTTTTTCGAACCTGCGTATATATAATCCGTTCATCCAACCGAAGTTTCGCAATTTTCGATCCGTATATATATATATATATGATTATCTGATCTTAACTGTTTTTAAGACAAGAGAGTATGAAACCGAAGTTCATGTCACAAACTATAATTGAGAGTTGGTGTCAAGAACATTACATCCTCTTTTTTCCATCCATGAATGTGTTTTTCAGCCTTCGGTTGACATGAAGACGATCCTAATAGGTGACAGTCCTGCATCTGATGATAGGAAACTGCAGAGGACGCGGGTGTTTGGGGTTGAGAAGCTCACAAGGCAATGGGGGTATTATATTATAACCATTATTACTTCAAAACTTATGGTTCTAAATGAAATATGGGGAGCGAGGAGGGAAAACAGTACGGCTAACAAAACAAATGTGGACGGCAGTCATTGACATTGCACACAATCGCATAACTTGACAACTTGACACGTCGCTTAGGTAATGTTTCCGAATAAAATAAATTAAATATTAAACTCATGCTCTTTCGAATCTTTTTATACAATTCTGATTTTTTTTGGAATTAAAATATAATCTCCAATAAACTGTTATAGAGGCTAACCATCGAATCTTTTATCTAAATTTTTGTTTTTTAACATAACTGGAGGGGTTAGGCCATTCTGTTTTATTTTATTTTTTTAGAAAAAATTAGAAATTTGGTAAATATATTCCCCAAATCAATATCTCATTGAAAACGGCATCTGACGTGTCATTTTTTTAATGCATTTAACTGAAATCGGTTTAACATATACCGATTTTTAAACCAGTACAACATTTGGACCAGCTCACTGTATCAAATTAATCCACCATGAAATTTGAGAGATGAAATGGTGAAATTAAATTTAGGGCTTTAAGTTGGTTTAAAATCACTATATGTTAAATAAATTCAAGTAAGTGGATTTATCATTAACCCATATGTAAATCGATTTGCTAACCTGGCAAAAATATATGACGTGGTAATTATGCAAATTTGGAAGTTTGCTTAAAAATGCCATGTCAGATCTAATAAACGGCAGATTGACGTCGTATTTAATGGAATATTGATTTGGAATAAAATTTTTATTTGGAGAATATTTGTTTATGGCACATTTCTAACAATTGGGCATTTTTAATGGAATCTTTCCTTTTTGTTTTGGAGAAAAAATATATATTTTACATATCCACTCCAGAAATATAGGAGCTGGTACGCGTGTATTTATTTCCGAATTAAAGCAGAAAAATATGAAACCCTACACGTGGCAAAAAAAAAAAAGGAGAGTTGCGTATAAATAAATTCTCCACCATTATTAAAAGACCACGAACAACAGGTAGTCAAAATTAGGGTTTCGAAGTGACAAGGGGAGTTTCGATGGAGATTGAATCGGACGACGATGAAACGGTGATGTACTATGGAAGGAGATGCCGCAGGGTCAAAGACCGCTACGATCCCGAATATATTCGACAGAGACAGCAATTTTACTTTGAATTTAATCGGGGCGAGGTCAGTTAATTATTTGTCTTTCGCTTCTCTGGTTGGGATTTGTGTCGGATATCGTTCAGTGGAAATCAGGTGCTTTCCCGTTTCATAATCATGGATCCCTGTTTCAGAATCACGGGTTTTTTCCATGTAAAAATGAAACGGGTTGCCTTATATGTCTTTCCTAACATGAATCGATAAAAGTCTCTTGATTTGGTACTCTGGGTGTTTTTTAGGGTTTTGAGATAGACTGGGACCAGTTTGATTACCCGTTTGCTGAATTCAACGTTGCTGGGTCCACGCGCCTTGAAGTGAGTACCGATAATGATGAACTACTCCACGAGTTGACATTACATCGATTCATGTTAGGAAAGACATATAAGGCAACCCGTTTCATTTTTACATGGAAAAAACCCGTGATTCTGAAACAGGGATCCATGATTATGAAACGGGAAAGCACCTGATTTCCACTGAACGATATCCGACACAAATCCCAACCAGAGAAGCGAAAGACAAATAATTAACTGACCTCGCCCCGATTAAATTCAAAGTAAAATTGCTGTCTCTGTCGAATATATTCGGGATCGTAGCGGTCTTTGACCCTGCGGCATCTCCTTCCATAGTACATCACCGTTTCATCGTCGTCCGATTCAATCTCCATCGAAACTCCCCTTGTCACTTCGAAACCCTAATTTTGACTACCTGTTGTTCGTGGTCTTTTAATAATGGTGGAGAATTTATTTATACGCAACTCTCCTTTTTTTTTTTTGCCACGTGTAGGGTTTCATATTTTTCTGCTTTAATTCGGAAATAAATACACGCTCCTATATTTCTGGAGTGGATATGTAAAATATATATTTTTTCTCCAAAACAAAAAGGAAAGATTCCATTAAAAATGCCCAATTGTTAGAAATGTGCCATAAACAAATATTCTCCAAATAAAAATTTTATTCCAAATCAATATTCCATTAAATACGACGTCAATCTGCCGTTTATTAGATCTGACATGGCATTTTTAAGCAAATCTTCTATATTATTAGATCCATATATGTCGTGGAATCATATATGGTTTTGAACTCATCGCGGTGTATTTAAGTTTACGTCAAATTGGTTAGTCCAATCGTTTTTTTAAGTTTGATCAAATATCCATTAGTAAAAACCCACTATATCCATAGTAATCAGAATGGCGTATCCCTTGCTCTGTCGGAAAGCAAAATGACAAAGTGTCCGAATTCCCATGTTTCACCTTCAGTTCCTTCGCTTCTTGGGTTTTTGAGGATAGCCCGCTTTCACGGGATAATAGATCTCTGCGAACAATGATTGGTCCGTTGCGTTTTTCTTACGCTCGATACGTCCGAATCCATTGTCCGCCCACGTAGTTCCCCACGAACTCTGTACAAGCCAATAGAGCTGGCCGTTCTCGTCTATCCCGTACCCGATGATTAGTACGGCGTGAAGGTTTTTTTCGTTTTTATCTCCTCTAAAGATACCCTGTATATATGAAAATATTTTTCGTGTGATTAAAACTTACGAGAAAAATATATGAAAAAAAAAATGGTTTGATTACTTACGATGCTGCGTTTTTTACGGTCCCATGACATTGCGATAGATCCAACGACCGGGGATCTCCTTACAAGTCTTTGGAGAATGACGTCGTCAACTTTGGATATGACAACGAAATCGTCAATGGTCTCGGTCCTAACCTATAATGATAAAAGACACGTGTCATGAGATTAATCATATTTTTAAGTTATATCTACAAAGGGAACTTACATTTTCATCGTGTGGGCAGACCGACGAAAACCCTCGGTAAGAGCAATCAGCCTCGTGCACAACTCCTTTGTTCTTGAGGCAAGATAGAGCTGACTCCACCTCCTTCACGCCCGTTTTACCGTAATTCACACGATTCACCAGGTGCTGGATCGAAAAGGACTTTTGCTCAGCGGTCGGTCTGTTGATGTTGAAGAGGGCTTCGATCGCTCTGACGTAGGTGATGGACCAACAAATGGCTGCACATATATCACGCAAAAACATATAATGGTTAGTAATTTGGCATGTGCTAAGGGAAGGGGTAGTGGCATTTTATGTCAATCAAAGTCTTAAGGAGAGTGGCATTAATCCACATGTTTTAACTTCCAGAGTCGCCAAAAACGCAGTATGATCCCCTTAACATTTATTGATACAAGTTTTTTAAAATATGGTTCAGACGTATAAAAAAAACTACACATATATATAACATGATGTTTGATTATTTTCCTATATTATATAAAGACCACTTACTTGTATATTTAGTAGATACATTAACGTATAGTTACCTTCTAAACCTTGATCCAATACGTTGCTGATGATTCCTTGGTAGTTTCTCCAGTCCCAATGCACCGGCAAACCCTAATATTATTATTATCAAAAAAAAAAAAAAAAAGAGAAGCTAGGATGCAATTCTAATCTATATTCTGTATCGAAATAAATATCTAATTACTTCGTCCTCGTCCGGCTCCGCGGGAACTTTCACGGGTTTGGCCTTTTCACTCTCCTGAGAAACAAGAATATGCAGAAAGAACTTTTGTAACACAACATTATGTACGTATATGCGATATATATTCACATTTTCATACCACAAAAAAAAAAATGCAGAAAGAATAAGCGACACAACGTACCGTTAATATATATAAATATACATAACAAATAATCATTACCAAATAAGCTGGGTTGCGAGGCATAAGGTGCGGAGGAGGTGCTACTTTCTCATCTTTCTCCTGAGCAGACAAAAGAATACATCGTATTTTTCTCGTAGAATACCAAACAAGCTATACGTATAGGTAATTTTTCTCGTAACATAAAAATACATCTGTTTTACCTCATTCTTCTTATGGTTCTTGTCTTTTGCCCTTTTTGGACCCCCTGTGTTTTGACCTTCCAAAAAAAAAAAAAAAAAAAAAAAGCTGAAATCTCTTTCCGATGAACAGCAACAAAAACAAAACGATCAAATATGATTCGAACCATGTAAAACTGTTTAGACTGAAAAATTTAGAGAGAGAGAGAAGAGAGAGAGAGGGAGGGAGGGAGGGAGGGAGGGAGGGAGGAGAGCAGCAGAACCTGCTGCTATGTCCGCGAGAGAAAGAGACAGCAAACAAACCTTTTTTAAAAAACAAAAGTAAGAGAGAGAGAAGGGCAAAAGAATAAATTACCTGTGGCGCGTGAGAAGTCACGTCTCACCCGCGCGTGTTTGCCAATCATCTGCATCCATGTTCATCTTCTTCGTCTCGAGGTTGAAGCTGGAGAGACCGTATAATTGATATGCATATAATCATAAAGATATGCAGAAGATTTCCTTCCATCACCGTAAAGCCGAACCAGCGGTGCGAAATCCGGAGCGGAGGTCCGTCGTGCGAACAAACGGCGGCAAGACTCGTTTTCATGACTGGGAGAGACAGATAGCCACGTGGCGATAGATGAGTGGCTTTGGAAAAATGCGGCGATACGAGGACGGGCGACGACCCAGACATATGGCTTGTTTGTCCTCTCTCCCTCTCACAGACGGTGTTAGGTGGGCCCTGTACTGATTTAATCTGGACCGTTGGATGCGTACTTTTTTTTTTTTTTTTGCATTATAATTTTGTACTAAAACTTCATCGCATCGCCTAATGTTACATCATAATGTATATCTTTGTTTCTACTATCACCATTTTCAAAGCGATTATTAATTGCCAAAGAAATGGCGTAGAATATGTTTTTCTTCAATAATCAATATAAAAAAAGTCGCAACTAAGCGTATTCATATGAACAATTTATTAAAAGCATGTTCCATATATCATTATAAATTAAACGAATTCTCTGTAGCCATTGACGGATGCTTACGTCGTTTCGAATTTCGACTGATGGTTTCGGTCGTAATACAGTGTCTAACAACGATTCGATCGATAATGGACGACCCACGTATTTTTATTTGTACACTCAGGAAGGTTTTATAATGTCCTAAGGAATTGACAGATTATTAGATTAAAACCTGATTCAAATGCTTGTTTTTCTTTGAGAATAAATCTATAAACGCTAAACCCTAACCACCGGATACAATAACAATGTCCCTAATCCAACTAACGATCCCACATGACCGGAAAGCGACGGCTTTGTGTCTGTTGTGTGTATATATATATATATATATATATATATATATATATATATATATATAACCAATATACAGTCCACTTTTGAGAAAATCGGTCGGGTTTATATATTATTAATGTAAAAATATACATTTACATAAAATAAGGATATAATTATGAGGTTCTACACTAATTATAAGCATCATGAAATGCTTCTCTTCCTCCTCGACTTTGGCCTCACTGTGAGCTCCAGAGTCTTCGAGAGCTATTGCTTCCACCTCGACAGAGAGAGAATGTTCTTCCTAAACGACGCCGTTCCGCCGTTACTGCAAACCTCCTCCTCTCCTTCTCTTTCTTCTCTGCCTCCCTACTACCACTCTCTATGCTCACCCTTCATTTTAAATTATCATTGTTTTGAATCTATACGTACGGAATATATGATTTTTTACGTGCATAATATATCGTGCCCACTTAAAAAAATAGATGAATAACAACAAAGGTCAATAACTCGGATGATTATTTTGGGTTTTGGCATGATTATATTCAGGCAGGAGTTTAAGGAATCATACGAACTGATCCAACCGCGACCAGTGTCATATACTCGCACAATACTTCGGTATAGTTAATTTTTTATTTGTTTATTTTGATTTAATGTTCATTGTCTTATCATTACACGATAGATCAATAACTATAAATGTAAAAGAAGATAGAAACATATTCCAGTTATTTAGCTACTTATTAATAGTTGATTGAGATAATAATCTAAAATTAGGAAACCATCAAAAGCAATAATATCAATTACTAGCATCTTTTTTTATACATATATTTGAAGCGATTAAAATCAAACGCTAAGTTAGAAAACCCTATCTTTTTCCACGATGTATAGGACACGTGTCAATAACCCATCTATAAAGACTACCAAACATGATTAGATATCAGCCACACATTTTAAGACCATACAAAACGAACAATATGTTCTTCGTCGTCACAACCTTTTCATCTCATCTCGAGTTTTCCTCCGTCACCCAACATGACCATATCAATGTTATCCACTCCCCGTGAAGTCGACGAAGAAACCGGTCACGTGGCCGAACCGGATCCGGTCGGACCCGATGCCGTCATGCCACGTGTCCTAACCGTAATATCCCAGGTGCTGGAGAGACTGGTGGCGCGAAACGACTGGTTGGCAGCGGCGGGCGGCGGCGGAGGAGGAGGGAAGAGGTTGGAGGCATTTAAAGGGGTGAGAGCGCCGACAATAAGTATTCCAAAGTATTTGGAGAGAATCTACAAGTACACGAACTGTAGCCCTTCCTGTTTCGTGGTGGGTTATGTCTACATTGACCGGTTGGCTCATAAGCATCCTGGCTCGTTGGTTGTCTCCTTGAACGTTCATAGACTCCTCGTCACTTGTGTCATGGTTGCTTCCAAGATGCTCGATGACGTGTAAGCTTTCTCTGATTAATTAAGCTTAAGAATTAATTACAATCATGTACTTGATCATTGATGATTAATTAACTACTTTGATGAAGCCATTCGTTAATTATTTACTCTTAAACTTACTCCCATCGTGTACATATCCATGAAACCGTTGATATAGGAACATGTATGACCTTCAATTTTACCACTATATGGACTATGCAACCTAATGTTTAAGACTTACATGCATTTCAGTATATACACCGTATTTCATGAAAACACACACACACACACACACACATATAGGTAAAAAAGCAATCACTTGAAGTCTATTGTGTATTATAGCCACTAGCTATTGTGAGGAAATTGGCTATCATGTTAACTATTATAATATGTAAATACAAATTCTATTTCATTAAAACGTGTATATATATAGGTAAAAAAAACTGGCCGGGTATTATTGTTAATGTAAACATACATTTACATTAAAACAAGTATAAATAAGATTCTACACTAATCAAGCATCATAAAATATAAAATGATGATGATGATGATGATGATGATGATAATAATAATAATAATAATAATAATAATAATAATGCAGGCATTATAACAACGCGTTCTACGCAAGGGTAGGGGGAGTAAGCAAGGAGGAGATGAACACAATGGAGATGGAGCTTCTCTTCCTCCTCGACTTTGGCCTCACTGTGAACTCCAGAGTATTCGAGGGCTATTGCTTCCACCTCGAGAGAGAGATGTTCTTCCTAAACGACGCCGTTCCGCCATTACTGCACACCTCCTCCTCTCCTTCTCTTTCTTCCCTACCTCCCTAATACCACTCTCTATGCCCACCCTTCATTTTAAATTATCGTTGTTTTGAATCTATACGAAATATATGATTTTTCAATCTCCTTTGTTTTTTTTTTTAATTGTTCACGTAATACAACATGATATGTCGTGACCAATTAAAAAATAGATGAATAACAACAAAGGTCAATAACTTGGATGATTATTTTGGGTTTTGGCATGATTATATTCGGATTCATTTTTATATATAATCATTTAGTTTTGGTTCGATTCTGTTGCGTTTCCTTTTACAAAGTACCAATTTTATAAGAAATTTTGGCTTTTAAATTATTTTTTATTCAATTTGATTCGAAATTGATTTTTTTTAGATTGTAGAATAATCATAACTATTCTACTTTTATATCAAATATAATTTAATTATTCGATTTTTTTATATCAAATATAATTTAATTGCGGTTATGTATTATTTAGTTATTAACCAAATAGACCAAACGCACCTTTCCGCTCTTCTTCGAAAATCAGCTCCGTCGCGTCGCACTGTAAAGGCTGTAGTCTCGTACACGTGTCATAATACCATTTGACAATATTTTGTCGGAGCAATTGGGCTCGAAAGCAGTGCCCTTTTTTTTAATCTCAGGTTAATCAAAAAAGCTGAAGCTAAGAATCCGACGATTCGATCTTCGTCGAGACGAATACACAATTTAAGGTGGGAAGGCTATGGCGGAGTCGTCGTCGTCGTCGTCGACGGAGGAGCTGGTGAGGTTGATCAAGCGGCTAGGAGCTTACGTCACCTTCAAGATATCCAATCTCTTCTCTATGCCTCTCCGCAACCTGGTTCTTCCTCGATCTCTCCCTATTTCTCTCAAATTTCATTGATGCTTTGCTTTTCCGTCGATGATTTCGGTATTGGATCTGATCGGATTCTGGTTTTGCTATGGCGGGTATCTCTGGTTTTGGGATCCTGAAATGCTGAATTTCTGTGGTTAGGACAGTTTTAATTGTCTGATTATCTCGGTGATTAGTGTGATTGATGGAGCGAAGCGTTTTAGGGAAGTAGGAAGCTTTTGGTTTTACAAGAGATTGTGAATTCAGCCATTAGTTCCTCAATTGGGTACCTACTTGATATCGATGCTATTACGTATCAAAGCTTATCTGAGAAATGGTGCTGGTATTGCATTCATTACTGATGTAGCTTAAGCTCACACCTGGAATAAGGAAAGCAATTAGGGTTCTGGGTATTAAGTTGATCTGTAATTGATTCTGTGTTACTATTGTTGAATTGGGATTAGGATTCACGGTCCATTGGAGCTATTGCGGGGCTTGCTATTGCTATAATTTTCACGTGGAGGGCGATAAGAACTCCGGGGGAGCATCAAAGACGGCAACCGAAGCGGAGGGTACCGACTGCTGGAAGTTCTTCATCAGATTCTCAGTCGAATATAGCAACCAACCCGCCGGATGCTTCTTTGTCTCATGAGGATACGAGAGTGCAAAATGTAGCCCCAACATTTTATTTTCTCTTCCAATTTTTCAATTGTCTTACCACGTTAATCTGCTAGAATATCGATTCTTTAGGACTGTTCTTAACACATTTGACTGCCTTTTGTGCAGCAGGCCCTGGGCCATATAGTCAGGCGGAAACTTAGTGAAGGAAGGAAGGTAAAAGAATGTTGGCTGTGACATAGTCTTGAAATCCTGTTCTAGTTATGATTCTTGTATTCTTTCACATGTAGCTCTCTAACTCTGATCTACAATACATTCATGGTGGCACACCTTCCTTGATATAAATTCTGATGTATTATGGAAAAAAGTTTATTTTTCTTGCTTCAGTTTGACATAGAAAGGTTTAGAAAACTGAGCTCGGCTTCCTTCTAGAAGTGCTTGGGTCAAGTTTTCTCATATTTTAGAAAATCTTGGGTTATATGCTTCATCCTTGACTAATATACTTTTTTTTGTTCAGGTAACGTGCCGCCTTCTTGGAGTGATTCTTGAGGAAACAGATCCAGAAGAACTCCGGGTAGTTTATATTTCCCCCACTGAAGTTCTCCATGTGGATAATATCCGATGAACTTTGACCTGATTCTTGCAAGTTTTGTACAGAAACAAGCAACAGTGAGGTCATCGGTGCTGGAAGTACTCCTAGAAATAACAAAGTTTTGTGATCTTTATCTCATGGAAAGAGTCCTTGATGATGAAAGTGAAGTGAGTGAACTCATCCCTATGTCCTTTTCATGGCATTATGCCCATTCTCCACTCTAGCATGGCTCACGTTTTCAGCTTTGGTTATATGCAGAGCAAGGTTCTTCAGGCTTTAGAAAGTGCGGGAGTTTTCACATCGGGTGGTTTGGTCAAAGACAAGGTAGTGACTCGGAAAAACATTCAACTCGGAATTTACCTCAGAAAAAGCATTTCGATGACCTCAACAAGCATGACTGAATCAGTATTTGCTTCATATTTTTAAAAGCGAGAGATCTATCTCTGTTTTCCTGACACTTTACACAAAGAGTTACAATGTGTTGTGACACGAATCGCAGGTTCTCTTCTGTAGCACAGAAATCGGAAGAACGTCCTTTGTCCGGCAACTAGAACCTGACTGGCATATCGACACAAACCCGGAAATCATCACCCAATTAGCTGTAAAACTCCCATAGTTTATACCTTCATTCTCTTTCATCCCTTCTTAGTTTCTTTTTTTCGGTATGTCTCTCTCTCGGTCTGAGCTTTCGTGCTTTACAACAGAGGTTCATCAAGTATCAGCTTCACGTCTCTCCGACGAAACCTGAGCGGACCGCTCCAAACGTATTCAGTTCACCGTCATTGGAGCATTTCTTTGGAAACGTTTGAGGTAATGAAAAAAATGCAGGCGAAATATACTTCAGACCATAACTTATCCCAAGGTCTCCTCATGGCGGCGAACGTACGTTTGATATCCATGTTTCTTCTTCTTCTGCTTCTTGGTTTTTTTCCTTCGGCTTGGTCTTGTTGTTCTGATCAGAGTGTGAGAATTTTGAGATTAGACCACGTGGGAAAGTACCAAAGTTTGTAATTTTGTTAATTTATATTAGACTTTGACGTTGTCTGAAACTGGAATAACTTGCTGTCTGAGAAGAGCTCTGTTGTGGGAATTTGATCTTTCACCACTTCAAATTTTGACCCACAAAAGAACACAAGGCATAGCCACTTCCTAAATCAAGAACCGTTCTGTCTGTGATATCGTTCGGACAAAGAAGATAAGCTTTCACTTCAAACCTCAAAGAAAAAAAAAACACATTTTGATTCTGTATTCTGAGTCTAAGCCTCTCAAGATTACGAATCAGACCACGTCTACGTTGTTCGCTTCTTCTGTTCCACAGCCCACATCCTCCTCGTCTCCCTGATATATATATATATATA